TCAGAGTTGGTTGCAGATGATTTATCAGGCATGTGTTATAGGAAGAATGGGGAAATGTGATGCAGATGACGCGAGTAGAAGATATGAATTGGCGAGAGACTCCTCGCCGACTTCACGCACGTGAGTCGCGTTCCCAGTTGGCTTCCGCTTCTCACCTATCGAAGTCTGCTCAATCAAACTAGCATATATTACAGTATATATTACAAGTATCCACACCTCATTATGCTTAATTGTCTTGATGTCAAAATGCAAACATGCTACATTTACGAAATTTTGCTTTTATGTTGGTGCCAATTCAATCCCTGGATGGGTGAGTAACAGAGGGCATGTTTTCTGGCATTTTTGTGTTTTCCTACCCTTCGCTAAGAGGATTACGCAAGAATTACATATTTTCTTAACCAGTGTTGGGGATGTGATATATACTAGTTTGTTTAAGTGACTTGTAGGTGAGAGGCGGGAACCAATTGGGAACGCGAATTACGTGTATTAAGCCGGCGAGGAGTCTCCCCCCGATTGATATCTCCTAGGCACCTCATCTGTATCCCATTCCCCATCCTTCCTAATAACACCACCTAGTAAACCGTCTGCACCCAATTGCCTCTTGAAGTCCGAGGATCAGGGACCAGAGGGTAGACAGGCGGCTCTTACAGGGGAATATTTTAGAGTTGCAGGGGCTTAAAAGAGGTGGGGCTTTGATTCCCAACAGAAAGTATGGTCATTTTCCTAGTCATGGCCCTGGTGTTTTTGTTTATTCAGTATCGCGGTTATCTTATCAAACGATAAGATCAATAAAGAAATTCATGAAGTAAAACTTTTCAGTTTATGGGCTAAAAACCTTTGGTGCTTTCTCCTACATCTTTTTGGTGTCTATAGATAAAAGTGGGTATTCTATTAACGTTCCACTCTTGTGAGGTTCCATCAGCGCTCACAATAATGCCTCAAAGTTGAAAAGTTCTCCTATGTCAACAGGCTTCATTCTTACCTTTCAAGGATAATTCAGAGCTCTACATCTTGCACAGGGTCCTAGTTATTTTTTTAGTTGGTTTGGGGATCATGATGATGTATAATATTCGTTTTACCATCTTTTGCACAATGCGGGTCAGTACGGATAATTGCTCACCTAGCACTTTCCAGCCACATAGTGCCGTTGAGCCTCTCTCCCATCCCACCACCGTCCTGCACAGGACTACCACCAGCCTTCATCGCTGTCCGGTCGTCGGGTGAGTACGCCTTAACGCCCTTATGGCGCACATTCTCTCAAACACTTCCAAAAGACTGCCGACCAAACCCCAGTGTAAGCGGTCCATCATAACGAGGGCTAGGGTTGAATCAACCAAACTGCCATCCCATTTTGAAGCGTTGATTTTGAAGATGAATCTTCCAGCACGCTGAGCAAAATGAATTGTTTTCTGTAACTCGTTCTGTATTTTTAAAGCTTACTGGCAAATTCGATTTCCCTTTCCAAAGCAAAAGTGGTCGAACACCGGTTCGTTAATAACTCCTATCACTAGCCTTCGCATACTCGGACAAATGTTTTGAGATTGTAAAAATGCAACTAGTAATTGCTTGTAGGCTATCATCTTCCTTGACATGAGCAGAAGTCGTCAATTCTGAAACGACTGCAACTCAAGAGTGAAGCTAATGGCCTTCCTTCCGGCCAAAGTAGCCTCACCTATAACTCCTACTGCCGCCATCCAGCGTTATCATCGTAATCACAAACACCACATTCGATACACGACAGTCTTCCCACCATAGTGAGCCTTAGTCAGTTAGCAAAGCACTAAAAGACCGTAAACAAAGCGTGCCCGATTGCAGACAATCCAAGTCAGCTGGTACCAGAACAAGAGTAAGGCGGCGCCATACGTATCCTTTCCTCGTCTTGTCCCTTCTAAAAAACCACCAATTTTGCATCCCTTGCTAGTTGATCACTGAAATGCCTATGTTGGTTTTGTACTCCTATCGAGTGCTACTTACTGCACCAGCTTGGTGTAGACGAAGGCGATAGGTGAGTTCTCCGTCCACTTGAAAATTGTAAATTGCATGCTTAAGAAGTGAAAGTCGTTGTAGAAAGCAGGCATTTTGTACACTTGACGTTATTCAACCTGGAATCCTTACAACTGTGGCACAAGACCGACCAGAAGTTTGTATTTTGCTTGCTGACAAGAGGATGATTTACTGAAGTAGTTACTATTGTAGGACGGTGCGTCTTATCCAGAAGGAGGAAGCTAAAATTCATATAGTAAATCAGGTATAGACTGGTTACATAAAATTAAGTCCTATTTTGCGTCTACCCTTAGAAGTTGTTCTCCTTACACCAACCGACCTCTCATCTCCACCAAACAACACACAAGCAATAAAGGCGGTGGCTAACATCAATCACAAGCAACCATGGCAGCTGGACGCATCGGTTGATATCGGTGTTGCAACTGCATCTCATTCCACAAACAGCCCTTTTTGAAAGATGGAAAGAACAACTTGGCAGCCTTTAAACACCCTTCTGGAGGATCAAGCGGAAGCCTTTTTTCTGGCTTTTGTGCCACAAGGCATAGCAACTAACGACGTACAAACGTTCACGCCTAATAATGAGGAGTCATCTTGAAACTAATACCGGCCTTTTTTAAATAAAACACCACACCAGACTTAAGTGACTTGTCAGTAGTTTCTTCACAAATCGAGATTATTCTAAGCAGTAGAGAGAGCATCGCAACGAAGGTCTCCGCGGTTGAGCACCCAGGCTTGGTCCATTTAGTAAAGCAGGCCGGATTAAAGAGCTTCTTTGACTATTAGTCCCTCTGCATAAGGTGAAATGTCTCATTGTAGGTTGGAATCTAATGTGAGCATGTCAAAAACACCTATTTGAATCTTGATATATAATCGCAATTTTAGGCCTTCTTTTCCCTTATCGGGTGGTAGAAGTGGCTTGCCCTTATAGTCACGAACACATTTAGTCTACGAACCGGTTAAAGTACATGGACTTGTTGACTATGATGCCCTTGGCGTTGAGCGATCACATTCGATGTCCTTCGTTTACCTCAACCAACAGAACCACTCTCAAAACATTGAGAACTTTTCCTATGACATTTTGCACGTTCCACCACGAGACTAGCAGGTCATGCAAGGAAACAGTGGGCAAAAACCAAATTCCAGTGACGACTTTACGCTAAATGTCGGAAAAGTGCAAAAGGGCAATAACAAGGGAACAGAGTACACGAAGTTGATCCCATCCTCATTTTTGTAAATCCATGATCCAACAATCAGACCCTCACGTAAAAGGTTCGCACCTCCATTTCCGCTGAGTCACACAGCGCTGTCAACTTAACCTTTCCTGCTATTAATCTGGAGGCCATCCCCCTCCACCCATACACGTCTATCGCACCCTCTTGTTTAAGAATACACACATCTCCGTCCGCTGTTTTCGGAGCGAATATGATTAATGTTGGTGTCGAACGCTTAGACTTCCACGTGAAGATATGCAAACACACAAGCACGACCTTGGGTTTTTGGAGGTCGTGTTTATTTATGGAGGAAGGTTGGCTCTCACTTCTACCTCCTCCTCCCCTGTGGATAAACAAACTAAAGCGAGTCGGTGAAGCAAAAAGATACTACTATCGACGAAAATCTATCCTTCCAAGCCAATTTGATGGTTGCATTGCTTTTAGGTTTGGTGAATGCTTAAGCACATCCGTGTTAGTCTCCGGAATGTATAGACTTAGCCAACCAGACCAAAACAGATTTTCAATTATCCAAAATTCACGACACTTGCTGGTCCGACTTTCGTAAGAAGAGCTTACACTTTGGCATCATACCGGAGTGTGAACAACCTCCCATTTTAACGTTGTTGACGAGCACACATGAGCACATCGTGGAGGCTTACAGCCCCAGTAAAGAAGAATCTCGCCAATAGGCACTCCTATCGTAGCGATATAAAGTTGGTCTCAAACAGAACGGGGCTTAGTCCGGGTTTTAGGCTTTGGCCGTCAAGGCATATCCATAGTAAGGATAAACACCACTTTGGGTGACTAATTAGCAGACAAGTGATCAAACAGGAGAGGGGAATGGAAGAGGACGCCCCGACAGAAGCGAGGTGATACCGGCTACTATTCCCGCTCAAACCATCCGATGACCTAGCTGGAACACAACCCCCGAAAGCCCAACCTACCCACTACAGTAATCCGTGCATCCGCTTTCGCAAGCTTAATGAGGACACCCTAAGATCACTCAACTATTCGCCCACCCGAGGCAAACGCTATGTCGTCGCAATACTTGTTCATTTGCCCAACTACAACACCGAGAACAGAGATCCACCGAGATTGAGAGCCTAAGTTACCAACAATTCCCACGTGCTACAGTCAATCAAGATGGGTCAGGATCCATTAGCAAAGATCCAAACAAAAATTGCTAGGAGGGGCCACTAACACACGAGATGACCGCTTGCACGCCCCCACAATGCGCAAAACGTGGCGCACAACAGCGACGTCAAGACACCTCAATCAATTCGAATATACTTATCATTGGTATCACCGCATCATGGGGATACCTCTACTTGCACCAATCGCCACTGTGCATAGTTTAGAGTACAGACAGGCCAGTAGTATATGTACGCACTTCACGGCACTGCAACTCTCCTATTGGTTGCTAACCCGTGAAGGCACACGCACTACCGCACGTGGGGTGCGACAAAAGTGTGTGGAGTAAGAGCATTACTCAGTTGTGTGGGTAGCCCCGTGTACGTGTAGCATGCGGGCTTGCGTGTGCACGCTGTGGTATGGTATGTGAAGTTTCGCCAAACAGGATGAGTGAAGCGGCTTTTCTCGCGTTCTGAGAGCGCTAATTCTTGAATTAAGATTCTGAGATCGCGATTACAGCTGATTCCTTATCTGCATGCTTCGTCTCTTGTCCTGTCTTATGCTTTTCTTGCGTCTGAAGTACTTCAGTTATTTTGATGTCTTTTGATTTCAGGCGTTGCTGATCGTGGAATTACTGGTTGTTTTTCTTGCCAACTACGTATTTCCACCCTGGAGGTCTTGGTGTTGATCGAATTCGGCCATTTGGAGGATGAAACCGCTTGTGGTGTGACCGTCATAGGGTTCTTTATTGGCTGCGCGTCGCCAGGTCGGGTCACTCATTTTTCCAATGGGCTGATGATGCTTGAACTCGGTGAGCGTCTGGAGGACTAGCACGAGTTGGTCTCAGAAGGTGCGGGTGATTTGTCCAATGGGAGTCCAATATCTCGCAGGACATGATGTTTACTTACAGGAGTGGGTTTCGGCTTCGGGTACCTAACTCGCCTGTCCTGCATATCCGACAGGTTAATGGCGTGGTTCGTGGGATGCTTAGGGGGATCGATAGCCGCGCGGGGAGGTTCTGGCGGGGTGCTTCTGTTTGCTCGCTCCTGTAGATCGATGGGCTAGTGCTCGATGCGCGAATGCAGCGGTCTAGAGGTTTCCGGGGTAAGGAGACTGGGCCCATAAACCACGTCCCAGGGTGATTAATTGTGTCCCCTGCCGAGGGTTCGGCTGTCCGCTACGCGCTAGGAAGTAAACACAAACATCCGGATCCGGCTCGTCGTCTACGTTCTGTCCTCCTTATGATGAATAGGTGATTAAGGGGGAACAATGATGGCGTCCTGGTGGCGTCATCCTGTGTAGTACAAGTTAATGGCTGCTCGGCTAAAAGTTGAAGATGGTTGCCGGTGTCCCGCCCACAGGGTTGTAGAGTAGCACGGGTATTTGGCTGTCAGGGTAGGCAGTGCGGGGTGGGGCGCCGTTTTGCGTTCCCATCATAACACAATGTGGCTGATTTAGAGAGTTGGTGTCTCGAAGATTTCGCCGTGCAGGCAGTGACTCAACGAGTCGGCGTCTTCGGTACTGACACGCGTGACTAGGTGTCGTTGCCGTCTCAGGTCCCCTTATGTTGAACAATCTCGACCCATTTCGTGCAGCTGTCCGAGCTAGAGGGTGATCACAAATAACGCTTGAGTTAAAAGTAAAGTAGCTCCAAAAGCTCAAGACGTGCGAGCATCCTTTCTGCGTTAATGGTAACGCGAAGCTTTGTAATAAATGCTTTAAGCATGAGTACAGCGTAAGTCGCACATGGCGCAGGTGGCGGTTATTACCTATGGGAGTGGACGGAAGTTTTGGTCAAGATCTTAACCAGCCTCTATGCTGACGGATTTCGATTAGTACGAAAAGACAGACATGATACCTATTCACGCGCACAATCAGGCGAACCGTTTGGTTGATTTATGCACCAAAGGTAGTTCGTTGTATAGTTTTGCATTGCTTTCACACTTTCAGCATTTCTCCATTGCCCCTATGTGGCATTCTTTGCACATGCACAATTGGAAGCTTACGTGGACGCACAGAAAGGTCAGTGCAGTTCAAGCAAATTTATCACTTCTCGTCTCAACACGACCCAAAAGACTAACAAAAAATTGTAAATAATTCTCTAATCTACAAACACAGGTGCACAATTGCGTTAGCGCTTGTGTTTAACCTCGCTTGTATGCCTCTCCTTCAGTTCACCTCAAGTGACCTTAACAGTGGAGGGAGGATGAGACGGCCATCCATTTCAAAGTACACAAGCTAGAATGGAAATAGCAGCAGTTAAAAATAGCATAGCGGTCATCCGGATGTCAAAGTCACATGCTATTTGGGCGAATGCTGTTGTTGAAGTATGCTAAAATGCGCCCCTCTCATCGCTTGTAGCTCCGAATCATCCCACAGATCTGCCAGTTGGCTTGAAGAAGCGAAGTGAATTTCTTTTCGTAGGACGAAGTTTTGGGAGTTCTTTCGTTTTCGATTGGTGTCGCGACATTTGAAGTTCATGAGGCACCATGAAGAAGCCCTTCACAAGCAAGTTTTCAATCAAGGAGACGTGTACCGTGGAGTGACTTTCCCGAAAAATACCAACGAACATTATTCTCGATCCCAAAGACCATTTCATGAAGACGTTCTATTATGGCCAATTGTTAACCCCAGAGCTATGACATCTTGTTAAAGGATATGTTTACCTAGGCGGACACTTTGGTCTACGCCAAGTGTACTTCCGCTCTGCGCGGCATGGCCTTTATGATGTGCAAGGTACCCCGCGGACCGACAAGTTCTTCCATGCCACTTTAACGCACTACGTCTCTGGCAAGGATGCAGAACACTCAACGCCTTGCGCTCTGGATAATGTACAAGATGGACAAAAATATTTTCAAAATGAATTGTCTATGCCAATTTCAAGGGCTACAAACGAGTTTGAATCGAAATATGCGTTTCCATGGACAATGTAGGAATTTTCGAAGAACTGGGGTGCCTAATCTCCTTTCCGGTTGGTTGAAGAGATGATGAAATCATAAACGATTGCGTAGTCAGCTCAAGTAAGCGGTGGAGAAACTAATCAAAGCTAAGCAAATCGCCTCATAAAACTTGGTTAAATTACGGTCGTATCCATAATGCCTATGTGAGTAACTGGGATACAGGCGTCCGCGTTGACAAAAGAAAGCTCCTGAGTCTGACGAACACCAAACTGTACCCATTTGACCTTTCATCAGGGTGGATTGCTCTTACTATATTATCCTACCTCATCGTATTAAGTTAATTGGTTGTAACTCATAGTAAAGATTTACAGAAACCTACGGAATTCGAGTATCTTTTGCGGTTGTCGAGACGCAATGGCAGTTCTAACAACTTCCGCCTCATACAAGTCCATAATTTTGCTCAAAGGCTTAACCCTTTCGGTAGACTCCTAGATCATGGATTTACTTTTTTTTTCGAAGGAAATAAGGGAATGGTATCTAGGTGACACCTCCTGCTTCACCCAATCACTCCTATATTCCGATTTATTACCTGTCAGATAGGAGGATGGTGTATTGAATTGGCCTAGTTTTTACAGGAACTCGAGGTCCCCTTCTATCGACCGCAGCTCCAACTAACGCACGCAGTCGTACCCACACACTGCTCTGACTCATCCCGTTTCCTTTGCCTACTTGCGATCAATAAATCGATGGAGGACCAAGTAAGCAGTTGTAGCCCTGCGACCGCATAGGCGGACACCGACTCGCAAGCTCCCTCCACACAAAGCGCTTGCTGACAGTAATGGTAATTAAATACACAGGAGTAGTTTCAGCTGTTGACTTTGATATTCCGCCCTCCCGATGAACTACGCCAGTCGTTCCCACAAGGCAACCTCTTTACCCCCTCTCCTCAACTTGCGACTGTTCATACTGCTACTACTCAATGGGCCTGAGTCATACGGAGAGAGATGACAAAACATGAGTGGACACTTAAGTCGTGTTAGTACAGGCTCCCGCTCTCTCTCTCGCTCTCCATCAACCGTGTTTTTAGTATTGGGTCAAAGCTTCTTCAACGTACACCTTCCCCACGGACTGAATAGTCTGGAAATGCAGAGATGCTGGTAGGTGGAGGGGGTCATTCTGTCCAGAAATGGTGTGGAAGGCGTCCTTTTGTTTATAGCTGTCGAGGTCTAGGATTTGGACACAGACTAGCGGCTGGATTCCTTAGTCTAGGGACTCTGAAGTTGATATTGTCTAGCTTTTTTGTGGGTAATGAGCTTTACTGTTTTGTTAAATTCCGTAGGGCATCAATCACAACAAGTTAGAAATAGCCTTGATATAAGCTGGATTTCCTTCTTCCAATTCATTCTCTACATTGTGGGATTATCTTCTAGCCCATCGGCAAGGCTTTTAAATTCAGCAATTTTATGCTTATCTAAGTTTTTGATGCACCATAGTGCGTTAAAAATAATTCTTTAGGATTGGAGTAAACCCTAAAGGAAGAACTAATTTTACACTTTGAAGTATTTATCGCGGGAAACTATCATGCAGCAAAAGCTGTTCAATCAAGTTGTCAATGCCTTGGCATTTAATCCGAACTTAATGTTTCCTCGTTGCGCTTTCGTTCGTTTGTCCACCTCGGTGATGCTCAGATCTGCAGGGCCTAGCTTCTTTCCATATTTTTCAAGCACGTTGCTCATTTGCATTCTGCTCTTGCTCCATCCCTTCCTATGGTGGTGGAGAATGCGTCTTCGCCCAGCCCTCCATACGCGTCCCCTAATTTCCGTCCTGAACAGGGTTAAATGTGGACAGTTGGTTCATTTGCATGCGCACGTTTTTTGAACCCTCACAGTATTTGCAGAGTACAATGTGTCGAGAAGCGATCTCCAATCTCAAAGTATGTAAGTGTGAGCAGTCAAGACGACTTGGTGCTTTTGGCTTGGCTCTTCTTCGAAAATGCCATTCAGAATTTGTGAAAGTTGGCTGAGCTACCAACTTGGAGAACACATCATCTGCTGTCGAACCTAAAACCTATGCTTTACTAGTAAAAATGCGGCCGATGGTGGTATTTTACCTGAAATTCATAAATTTTGTAGGAATGAGGGTGCGTGTTTATGTAAATCAGCTAATAATGTCAATTCTCCCGCTTCTCAATGTAGTCCCCCAATATTCTGGAGATCCTGATGAGAATTTTTGAATAGCAAAGAAAGAATTTTGAAAACAAAATCCAGTACTTCAAAATCATGTGTTCGGATGCTTGTGTTTGCATAGTGTATGGATGATCATGCTACTGAAACCATAAGTAGCGTGTTACTGATCACGGAGGGTAACAGTCGTGACAATTAACAAAAATAGCCAAAATTGGAGTTTAAAAGAACACAGTTGCGCCTTTTACATGCACCAAATTCTGTTTATTAACCTCAGAACCGGCCTCACTCCTTACTTCGCACTGCCAATGAACGGCTCACGAGCTCATTTTTTTTGGCAAAATGACGAAGGTTTAAGCGAGTACTATAACCAACGAAGGTAGAGTCTCAGCAGAGGATTGCATTGAACTGGCTTTTGCAGACACGGTAATCGAGCAGCCTCTTGCAGTACTTTATCTACAGAGACTATTTTCAATCAAAGCTATGCATAGATGTTATACCCTCGTCATGAACTTCTCGTCTTAACAAGCGTTCTCGTAGGAACCTAAAACCTGGACAAAGGTTCTCAATGGGTTAGTACAAGAAGTTGACAGTAGTCATTTTTAGAAGGACTGCAGTAATGTAGAGAATGGGGATGTCTTTGTTCTTGCAACCCTAATTTAACTGAAAAATTTCCCACATTCCCGTCTGGTGGGTGCATGGGGCATGAGGGACCATAGGATGTTGTATTAGACACAGTCAAGGCGTACGATTACTGAGTAGGCGGCTTTGGTGTCTAGCCTTTGGAAGGTGACCGTCAGCGTCTGCCATCCACCACCGACATGAAATTGTGGGACCGAAGGAGGTGGATGGCGCACCTGTTCAGAGTGGGCACAATGGGTCGGGGAGAACCGGTACGAAGGTCGTTAGCTTAAGCCAAGCTGGAGTGAAGCATAAATTACATTTCCTGCCTCAAGCCTCTCAACCAGTCAGTTGGTAAGCACGACCTAGTTGTTAAAATGTTTACACTAAAATTTAGCAAGTGTCGCTTATCAAGGGCTTGCCTACTTTCTGCCCTCCTCCACAATGTCATCGGTGCCTACTAGCTAAAATCTCTGGCATTTAATCACCAAATTGCTCTAATCGAATAGAAATTATTTCAAAAGGAAGACAAGTTAGACCGCATTTGTATAGAAAGACGTTGAATGTGTGTCTAAAGTACGAGGTAACTGCTAGAGCACACCAAAGGGTGTTGATTCACATAAACAATCACAGGCAGTTTACGAGTTCATACACATCATTGTCGTCCACTAACTGCGTTACTATCACTTGACACTTAAACGTCGTTCATTTCTAAACCAATTGTCTTTCCTTGTGTAACCACTTTCATTGTGTTGTGTGAAGGTGGCATGTTTACGATTTTTTGTCTACTTCTGAGGTCCCAGCCTGATCATACCGAAACGCGGCAGAAGGACTAACAACACGAGTTATACGGATCTGCGATGGGTCAATTCGTGGGAAATTGCAAAGTCTGGAGTAACAGTGGTGCATGAAGTTCAAGCCTTTTCTCGACTTAAAACTCATCGCAGACCATGAGGTTCTAGTGATCGCTCTATAAAGCCATCCTCTAGCCATACACAAGCATAACAAGATCCACCCTGATTGCGCCAATTCGGTTTTAATATGTACGTCTATCATTTCAAATTGATGAAAGTGCATTCCACAAGACGTCAATCGCATGCCTCATGCAAAGCATCTCATCTAACAGAGCGCCACATTACGCATCTTATCACGTTTGCCAATTCTGCATCTATTTCAGCGCAGCTCAAACACCTACTTGAGCTTCTCCATGTTTCACACAACTTGAAAAGGCTCTTTCTATGAATTCGCATTCTAAGCTGATTCTGAGGGTTTTGGGTCAACTAGAGCTCCGGCCATGCTCTCCAATAAGCGTCCATTTCCAAGATTGTGTTTGTTTAGAGGTCAGGCTATAGGGACTAGATATGCCTCATGACTTGGGGATTAATTCGTCTAAAATCCATCCAATGCGGCATTTAAGTTTTCCTCACTCTTGTAGCGCATTTCCTGCCAACGAATAGAATTGTCTGTCTGGCTTATTGCCGCTGTGACAGTCCAGCCATAACAGTCTAAAAGAATTTACGCCCTGCCATTAGCAAGTAGGCGCCTTTAAACTGATGCCACTACCAGCTAGCCACCATCTGCTCTGGAATTACATCAACACTTCGACAGATTCCAAGCTTTTGCAGTAATATTCTGCCTAGAGGTTTAACTACGGTGATTAAAAGCAGTCCTATTTGGTAATGATAAAGGCGTTCCCTTCTTGCCCTTTTAGTGGTGCCGTGTACTTACCGTGCGCAAAAAATCGTAAAATCCACTAGGTTTCAAAGCTCAAAACATTTCTACTTAAAAATTTCAATAGCAAATTTGATTTAATGTGATAATCGGAGTGCCTTAAAATAATTAACTCGTTTCCACTTAACGTCCCTTTAAGCTGCCGAATCAACACCGTTCAAGTCGAGATGTGAGTGCAGGTGGTAACATCTTACCTTTCCAAGGGCTCCCATCGACTTGCAGATGGTGCACTTGGGTTCGGATGATTAAATAGCTCCTTCCTTTTTCATGGATTTGGCATACAACCAAGAAAAGTTGTAATATAGCGTTGGCGCCACAAAGGCTAATCTTTCATTGTTTTTTTCCTTATCATGGATTAATTTTCCGTTTAAATGTCATTTTATGTGTTGAAAAAGTGCAACTTCAATGCAGCGTGGAGGTCACCACAATGAGGCCCCTTTTGATAAAGGATGCTTGGAGGATGATTGTGCTGACAACGTGGTTCTAAGAAAATAAATTGGGAAGACTAATTGTCAAGATTTCATGTTAATTTGTTGAGTGTATTTCTGTTTTACGTCTTCCAGTCGGCTGAGGAAACTCTTGCCTTTGAGGTCTTTAAGTCATGGCACTTCTCATTGTATCATGCTATTTAAACCCAAACTGTCGACTCTTATTAAGAAAAGGAAGAGTAAGGATCTCATCTGCATAAATCTACAAGGGATTTAGAATTGAACAGAGAAGTCGGCGCAAATGAGGCAAATCATCCCGTACCCTTGAAACCGAATTGTACTTCGGTTGCCTCCCCCCTCTACCCCAGATTTCTTGGGTAGTTGTATGTTATGAGCACCCAACCATGAAGCAGATATCCCCGCTACAAACACTACCAGTACTTCTGAAAATTCAAGCACCCATCAATCACTCGTATACACACACACGCATGCGTGCATGCACACACACAGGTACCTTGGCAACATTACTTGTCACAACACACTTTGAGCGGTTCTCTGTCACTCGATTTTTACCTCTTAGCGCCACAACACTGGTAGATGCTGACCACATTGTTGTTGTAGAATTGCCAAGTCTTTGAAGTTATAAGCATAAAGTGCCATCCTTACAATCCTCATACCTCCTTTTGCAAATTCTGCTTCACTTGCCACACCTGGAAAACATTTGTCACTGCTCTTTTTAACGGTCATCCAATACTATCGAGTTGTTGCTCCACTCTGGAATATTTGAAACGATAAACCAGTAGACGATTTCCCTCCGCACCTCTGTAATGCACACGCAAAGGTTAATGACCCGAAGGATCTTTTTAGGGAGTCTCTTTGAGTCTCTCAAAATTGATAGCTACGCGTCATTCATTCACTTACTGACTCACTAGTTCTCTTTATGGTTTTAGTGATGTGCATTGGTGCTAATACAATTTCTGGTCTCATAGTTTATCATATTTACCGGTTTTCTGAGGTGATAAACTTAGCAAATTTGGTATTTAAGGTCAAAGGTACCCCGTTTTGATTCCTGTTTGTCCCACGGAACAGGCAGTTGCTAAGACTGTTTTATTTCGGAGAAAGCTGACCGATATTAGAGGAAAGCGTAATAACGCAATTTTCATCACCAAATGAGAGTCATTGAGTCGGATTCGGCCATAAAACATTTTTTTGTCATTGCGGTGTAAATCACATTCATAAAATGACGCATCTAGTGGGGCAGTTGAATCACAGTGACCCATTTGTGTTTATGAGCAAGTGTATTCGAACACAATCTCGGCTTGCGTGGGAAGCTTGGTGTGTGTATGTATGTATGTATGTGTGTGCTTGTAACTGCTCGATTTTCAGTGAGAGCACAGAGTGGAAGGCACGCATGCACCATTCTACATGCTGATTGGCTAATAGAGTTTACTATTAAGGCTTTGAGGCTGCATATCAGCACCTGAGCGGTTAGTTGTAGCTTCTGCGTACACACGAAACGACAATGGGATTGAGTTTCTCGAAATCCTCAACTAACACTACTGCAAAAGAAGGAGAAGAACATGAGACCGGTTTCCAGCATATTGCCAACACCATCCGTCGTTCATTTCGTGTCAAACGGCAAACTGCGGATAATGCAAATAGGTCCTCTCTACGTGCTTCAGCTTCCGTCGACGGAGTAACAACTACATCGACTCGAGTGCGTCCGGGAATACCAGAAAGCTTTCATCAACAAAATACTGCATCAGTAAAACCAGCAGCACCTGCCAAAGAGACGCTAAAACAGCCTGCCAAATCTCCTGCCACTCCACTTGAAACCAAAGCTGCGACACCAAAGGCACCAGAAGTGATTCCAGCTATGGCAATGGTGACAGAAGCTTCACGGAATGCTGCATCCATTTCGGAGTCACAGAAGAAAGTAGGAACAGATGAAGAGAGGGACAAAGAGATGGATAAGGCAATGGACATGTTGAAAGGGGCCATTCGTGCGGAAGAAGAACAAGGAGAGAAGAAAGCCGATATAGAGGGTAAAGAAAGACAAGAAGAAGAAAAAGAAAAACTTCATCATGTGGGAGACATTCTTTCCCGTTTAGCACCCGCTACAACACCCACATCACCAGAAGCGGCTTCAGCTATAGCAAAGATGACAGAGGCACCACGGAATGCTGCATTCATTCCAGAGTCACCAGAGAAAGTGAAAATGAATGAAGAAAGCGACAAAGATTCGGAAAGGGCAATGGGAATGTTAAAAGGAACTTATCACGTGGAAGAAGAACAAGGGGAGAAGGACGATAGAAGGGTTAAAGAGGGACAAGAAGAAGATGAAGAAGAAGAAGGAGAAAAACTTCATCATGCGGGAAATATTCTTTCTCAGTTGGCACCAGCAGATACGTCAGGTGATAAAACTCCTGAGACAGACACACCGGCGAAGCCGACAGTGAGCTTACTTGCAGCACTGGAGAAGCGAAAGGCGATGAAGGAACGGAAAGAAGAAGATAATGAGGAAAGCGATGAGGCGGAAAAGGATGCAAATCTAACACATGGAGTGACTAATGTGTTGGAAAGCATCGCTTACCAGTCATCAGCTATCAAATCGAAGGAGGCTGCCAACTTGATGGCGGCTTTTACTCTTCCACCGCAGTCGCCGTCTGAAGGAGAGGTGGACGAAGAAGAGGATCGCCAAGGAGAAAAGAAGACTGAGAAGGAGGAGGAAGAGGCAAACGGCGAGTTGAAAAAGGAGGAAAGGGACAAGAAGGCTGTTGAGGTGATGGAGTGAATTGGGAGGACAAACGCTTATCCAGAGTTATGTACCTGCGTATTTTATCTTCTCCTTACCTTTGCCTATAATTTATATGCCATTTACCCTTTCAAGCATGTTAATTCTTCCAACCTCTAATTAAGTCGGAGGGAGACGCGGTGGCATTTCGGGTGAAAATTAAAATGGTCGAGCAAGCTAACCTTTAAAATTGCTACATCAATTAGCTTCCAACTACAGCTGGAAACTCATTCACACTAATGCAAGTAAACGCGGAGGAAAAAGGAGAGGCAACACACTCCCTTATACCCTAGATCACATGTGGTCTGACAGTTGCAGAAAAAACGTCTTGCGTAAAATTTTGCCTTTTAAGGAGATGGGAGGTGAGTAAAGCGCGCAATCAAAATTGGCATTAGGGGTTTAGATTACAGGCAGTCTGTTAATTGAGGACATGAGAAGGGCCTAAGGTGGGAGCAAAGCTTCAACAGGATTTAAACTCAAAAATCACTACAGCATCGAAGTTTTAGAAGTTGGCAACAAGTTTTACATCTAACGGAAGCACACGAATTGACGTTTTAAAACAAGTCGGTGGAGCAATGCAACAGCAATAAGACAATAGGTCTTTTAGTAAATTGACCCTTTTGTGACAAAGACAGTATGAGATCTCAAATGTTTGGGCGTAGAAACTGTTTTGGTTCAACATACCACGTGTTTTAAGACGTTGACTTAACGTATGAACTTTGATGGTTGAAAATGGGAGCACATTAAATGGCTACCACTGTCTACTCACTCACGTGATCCACTACGACACCTCCATCCACAGACGTGTGCCACTCTCGCCATACAACCATACCAGCCAACTCCACACCACGACCTCAACCTCCATCCACACACACACACACTCCCACGCCCACCAATCCCACCACTACCCTCACCCACAACCTCATCTTCACCCCACCGTCCTACACCTCCATACCACCTTCTCACCCACCCTTCATCCAGTGGTGCTTTTCCCACTCCTCCCCTCCACCTCTGCCCCATGGCTTTCCGAGAGGTGCTATTGAGTGTACTGCTGTGCTGCCTGCTGTGTGCTGCGTGATGTGCGCTGACCGATGAAGGAACTTGCCGTCCTGACACAACTCCATTCCATTGCATTGCAGTTGGGTGATGCGTTGCACTCAGGAAGGCGTCTACTTCCCAACACCTCGTCCTCACTTAAATGGTGCCACGACACATCACGCTTACGTCACAACCCTCAACCTGTCCGATTGCCCCCCTTCCTTTCTTCCCTTCCTACCTGCCTCCATTCTCCCTCCCTCATCCTCCACCCACGCCTGTGTTTGTGTGTGCGTGTGTGTTGGAGCAGAAACACTTTCACTATGCAACCCTTCACTGACTGACAAGAAAGGAGCAGTCTCTGAACTATCCTCTGCCACTGCTACCCCACCCCTCCTCTCCAACACTTACAAATCACACCTGAGGGCTGTGCAAGGTCAACGCCTTTATGAGAATGCGGTATCACCACTGCAAGTAGTCACACAGCTCCAGGTCCCGCCTTTCGACCTAACAACAAGGCAGTGTGAGGTCTCACTTCACAAACAGGCGCATGACTTATTTGTGCAAGCTTTTACCTTCAGGTGGCAAATTCGCAGGTGATTCTGGTTTTTAAATGTAGAGGATAAATCTCCCGCCTACGAAATGACGCCATTCTGCCCTGTTCAACGCTCTCACACTCCAATCCACTCTACCCTCCTCTCCTGCATTTTTCGGCAATCAGAAAAGTCTTCTTGGATCTTGAAGAGGGGCACATTTTCCACTCTGTAATAAACTAAATGGCTCATGAGGTCACCTTGGTCTCCACATTTTCTCTTAGTACCTATTTAATAACTTACCAGCATAAGATGAACAAAACCTCAAGGTTCCAGTCATTCTCAGACTGAAGGATAGCAAACTTTATTAGGAAATTGACAAGTGCCAAACATGCATTTTTAAGTCACAACTTAGCTCAATTTATTGAAAGCTTTAAAGTACTGAACCACTCGTAGTTATTAACTACTTAAATCTGTCAGAGATTGATAGCGCAAGGAGATTGTCATTAGTGTGCACTTTACTAAAATGACCTTATACAAATATTTTTGTGAGGGCTTCATTAATAAGAGCATTTGAGTGCATTTTCCACAGCTCTCAAATGCTTTCCTTGTGAAGTGGTTGATAACAAGGCTCTCCCGAAGCATCCTCAACAGGTTCACTTGTTTTCGCTTTGCGCGATCAGTGGTGTGTTCTATGTCAGGTGTAGTCATCAAAGAGGGTTGAAAGACGTTTCTGCTCCAAAAGACATTTTGAACCTCATTCACGTTAAGCTGACAGAAAAGAAATGTTATGTTTCCCCTGCCATTTTGGAGCAGCTCAAGTTAGCAATGTCGAAATCGTGTCTATCTCCATTTGCCCCACCTTGTTCAGTCCTTCACCAAAACATAATCAGGATTAATTTGGATTCTTCCAATCCGCACCTCTTTTCAGCATCTAAAGAAATGACAGCGAAAAAAGATGATTTACTGGTAACAAAATAATGCCGAGTCGGATTCTAACACCTGCTATGGTTATTTTCAGCTACTGCTGCTCTGTCCTGCCGTTCAGCCCATCCCACTTGCCTCCATTTGAAGGTGAGTCGGCTTTAATGCATTGGTACAGTTGCAACAAAGCCCTAAAATTAAGTCGCATCACCAAAAAACAGGGCCAGTTTTCTGCAAAGCAGACAGCATTACGAGATGTTCAGCCCTGAAGAAGTATTTGTCACGCACACGTACAAAGGTGAGGATTCTAAGGGCAGAAAGGAGCAAATGCATGAGTTTTTTGCTTTTAACATCGGCTTTTTCAAAATGGTAATTCTAGCCTCTTTGTAGAGTATTGTAGGAAGGACCTGTTTCCATTTTTCCAGAAAAAAATTCGCATTTTATTTGTCGAGTATTGACCTAGTCCTCATCAATTTCCTCGTAGAAGCGGATGAAAGTATTAGCCGAACTGCCACAAATACTTCACTCCGATAGAGCAACAAAGAAGAATAATAATGCATCTGATTGTGCGCAGACTTTGTAGAACCACCCTCCATCACCATTCAACTAGACGAATGCTTTCGACACCGACGGACGTCGGGGAAAGGGTGCCATAAACGTGGTGCAAGGTGCATTCGTAACCTTTCCAGGACGTTGATTGACCAATCCCAGCCTTATGCTCAAAACCTTTCATTAGGTTCTGTTGTAGGGTTTCAAGAGACAAACGCAGACTGAAAGGAAGGCATTATCAAAAGGATGACTTTGCGGACTGTGCTGTGAGTGTGTCGTGTGCAGATTGCATTAACTGAGCGCTCACTCTCAGAGCAATCGACAGCTGCCATAAAACACAAGCCTAAAGGCAGGATTCGCATAGTCATACACTGCTAAATCGGAGGGTGAGGGCGAGCCCTGCAGCGAATGAAACCAGTGAGTGAATGAGTAAACAAGCGCAATGCTGTTGGCAACCTCAAGCGATTTTATCAAACATCACTAAACTTCGTCTTGAGTAAGGAACTTTCCTTTGTACCTCAAAGCGGTGCGATTTAGATGCCTTGGTCTTTTTATGGTCAGCAGAATGACGACTCAGTTGTGCAGTGTTGTGCCAATAAAAGCGGCATAGAATTGACGACCACCTCTTGGTGCAAAAAGTGAATAAAAAGTTGGCGTCTTGTGATTTTAACTTCAAAATCTATGCCAAACCCACGGCAACAGTGCAGTGAGCACGCGGCATTAGCGTGGAGGTAGGCAATAGGCCGCAGTGGAGACGAGAAAATCAGGCAGCAAAGAACACCTCAAGGTGACTATCATTCAAACATCAGTGCCAGTGTGTTTTTGTGTCGTCTTTTTCTCTCTTGCCCGGAGGGAGTTTTACAAAGAATTCTGCCTCAACGTGAATGAAAATAGTATTACCCAGATACTCATGAACATTAGATGGTGAGGACGTTCTTTGAACTTCCTAAGAAAACTATGCAATTTAGCACACCTAACAACTCGCAATTATTACTGAATTTAAGGGTGTAGGGCTAATCATTAGCATTAGAATTAGTATTTTAAAAGCTCATTTCAAAGATCCTAAATTAAAGTACCAAAATCTTCATTGAAGCAGAGATGCTTGACAGACTTACCACGACCAGAAAGCTGCATTGCAAACTGGAAGTACAGATTGCAAGGACTCAACGCCACAGCAGTGGCAGAGGATGGTTCAGAGACTGCTCCTTTCTTGTCAGTCAGTGAAGGGTTGCATAGTGAAAGTGTTTCTGCTCCAACACACACGCACACACAAACACAGGCGTGGGTGGAGGATGAGGGAGGGAGAATGGAGGCAGGTAGGAAGGGAAGAAAGGAAGGGGGGCAATCGGACAGGTTGAGGGTTGTGACGTAAGCGTGATGTGTCGTGGCACCATTTAAGTGAGGACGAGGTGTTGGGAAGTAGACGCCTTCCTGAGTGCAACGCATCACCCAACTGCAATGCAATGGAATGGAGTTGTGTCAGGACGGCAAGTTCCTTCATCGGTCAGCGCACATCACGCAGCACACAGCAGGCAGCACAGCAGTACACTCAATAGCACCTCTCGGAAAGCCATGGGGCAGAGGTGGAGGGGGAGGAGTGGGAAAAGCACCACTGGATGAAGGGTGGGTGAGAAGGTGGTATGGAGGTGTAGGACGGTGGGGTGAAGATGAGGTTGTGGGTGAGGGTAGTGGTGGGATTGGTGGGCGTGGGAGTGTGTGTGTGTGTGGATGGAGGTTGAGGTCGTGGTGTGGAGTTGGTTGGTATGGTTGTATGGCGAGAGTGGCACACGTCTGTGGATGGAGGTGTCGTAGTGGATTACGTGAGTGAGTAGACAGTGGTAGCCATTTAATGTGCTCTTCAGCGTCACTGCGCAGGTTTACACAACATCTTACCTTAAAATACTGCATAATGTTCAGATCTCTAACGTGTCTTTTGCATGTTAGTTCCCGCGCTAAAGCATGAGAAGCTGCCATTGTCACAGAGAACGTCCATGAGGTGATTAATTACACTATCAAGAATATTTTACAAAACGCTTACTCTTCTGTATGCGTAAACAAAATTGCCTTCCATCCGACATTTCGTTGTCGTCAAATAAAATCGTTGTTTTCTAATTTAGGCAGTTTCAACTTCTTTAAAATGGGTTAAATTGGCTTATGCTTGTGTGTATATGGCATGCCAAATATGCTTACCTGGGGAATTAAATGGGTCATACCTTTTTTGATTCAACACAAAACGCAATTAAAATGTGGCTGTTTGCATCCTTGTATAGGAATTTGATGCATTGACACGGTGTTTTGGGCTTTTGGTTCCAAATCTCATAAATTTTATGACCACAAGTTTGCTCCATGATGTGGATTCGTCTCCACTGCTGCCAACTGTACCATTCCCGTCCTTACCTGTGCTCATAAATGAGGACGAGGGTGAAAGTGACATAAGGAAAGTTGCTGGTTGGGAGGTTGGGATTAAAACTGTGGCCTGAGTTTGTGCAGGCTGCAATGAGATGCTGCCATAGCTACAAATGCTACTTATGAAGCTCGTGATCATTTCCACTCCTCCGCAGCTCAATATGCTTGCTCCACTGCTGAGACCAACTCTACTGCAATAAGGATCCACTCCTTTCTTCTTCGAGTTATTGAAAAAGAGGAATTTTTATTTGGGAACGAATAAAATGGACAGGATGCAGATGCATAGGCAGGTAGAGAGATGGGATGGGAGAGCAACGAAGAACCTGGCTAGCTGCAACTGAGTCAGCGCTGTACATGGTTAAATGGTCGTCACTTCGTGCTACGGATTCCCATTAGGCCTTAAGTATCGCAACTCATTAATTGGTTTCTGGCTGACTTCACCCATCTCACGACTGTTTATTTGTCAGTACTCAATTAATATTAAGGCAGCAGTTCCAACAAAAATGTCTACACGACTTTCAAATACTCTCGCTTTGGTTAAGTCTTGCCAACATTGCACCGTCGACGTCATGTCACTGTGCTCGTCAAGTGAAAAACATTACCAAAGCTGCTCTCAAGTGGTTCATTCATTTCCAGCCCGGGGTTGCCGATTAAAATCACCTTGGTAGCGCTAGCATCATCTTTAGCATCAAAATTCGCAAGCCTCAATAAATTTTACGATGGCTCATCTCTCTTGACATTTGTATTTCATTTCATAGTTCCACAATGCGTACAATGCTTAGTCAGGTAGTTATAAAAAGATTTTATCACAAAAACAGGCACATTGAACCAGCCTAAGGTAAGCGAGTTGACAACCACCAGGTGGATGCCCGATGAGCGCAAGTGCAATCTCTGGTGGCATTAAAGACGATCTCATAAGAAGTGGAACTTAATAGACTTGCTAAAAACGGTTGTCGAATGTAAAATAATGCCAATAAGTGGGACAAGAACCGCAACAAGGAATGATTGAAGAGTCGTTGCTTTCGTAAAGTAATGTAATTCTTCATTAGACAAAGGATACAATAACAGTTATTTTAAAAAAAAAGACGGAGAAAAAATACAAGTCAAGTCGAAGAATTTTCAAATGTAATACTACCTGTTACAATTCACTTGTCTATGCACACCTGGGACAAACATTAAGATCCACCTCAACGTGCATACGGCTTCCTTCCTACAGCCTCGTTATAGCTCAGGTCACTCAAAATTTCCACTGAATCTTCCATATTATTCACATTGTCCATTGCTGGTCTGGAATTTCGTGCCCGTGGTGCGTAGGCGTCCTCCTCGAATTGTGAATACCTTTTTACCAAGTCCATTACTCCGGGCCGCTTTTCAGCTCCGTTTAAACTAACTTTTGAATAGCCGAAATTTTCACGCGCTTTTGGGCGCGCTGATCCATTCACTACCTCTAAATAATGGTCTCGAGGTGACAATACACCTTCCTTCGACTGCCGTTGACCCATTTTGAATGCCTGTCGGTTCAAAGAACGCACCACATCACTGGTGTATCGTATTTGATCGTCTGGAGGCTTAACAAGGCTTACATCCGGACGAGCAGCTTCTGCAGTGGATGGAATATACACCGGTGAAATTGACTCCAAAAGTTCGGCGTTGTCACTCCTGATGTTGTTGAAATTAATAGATTCTCGTCTAGGCGACAACGTGTCAACCAACTGGATTGGAGTATCATCCGTCCCACTGGATACCATATGCACCTTTTTATTCACTCTCATCTCATTATCGTTTCGATAACTCTGACGTAGTTGTACCGGCATCTGTGGCGTCGCCGACCGCATTAGATGTGGTGTTGCTTGTTGATACTGGATTACATCTCCGATCCGGTTTTCAGTCATTGGGTACTGCCTTTCCGACACCGATTCCACTGCATACGTAGGGAGACACGAGGTCGATCTAGTTTTTTCATAAGTGGAGTAATGTCCAACTGACTTATGGCGTTGATTGTGCCTTTTGGATCGTTGACGCCGACCTAGACCCTGTGAATACCTTCCCACTGTATGATATCCCGGTGTAGAGACATACTGACCCAGGAAGGGATCATAATACAGGATAGGTGGAGGAGCAGGTGGATAGGAGTTTGATGATTGGGACATTTTACCACCTGAAGCAAATCCATTCTCAGTCTGAGAGTCTAAAACACCTGGACCTCTCACAAATACTGGTTTCGCCCAGCTATCCCAACTATACGCGGAAAAGGGATTGTTGGTCGGAGAAGACACAGATTGAGCCTTTTGGACAGTCTTTTGCTGACTAGGTGGCGAAACCGGTGATGGAGTTGATGGTGACCGAGTAGGTTTCACATCCAGTTTGGGTGGGGGCTCGGACGCTTGACGAGCACGAAAGAGAGGCTTCTCGTTATGTTCAAATGGTGTGATGTGCTTCAGATTAACCAAAGGAGAGAAAGCTGGAGGACGGATCTGTGGTAGATTGGGAGATAAAGCGGCAGAGGGTTCTTTTTCGTCGAATTTTTTAAAGGGTTCTTTTTCACCCGGAATTTTTGGGGGCAAAGAATGGAAGACAGAAGAAACTCTGCTCTCTTCACTCGACAACTTGGAACGAAGAATTTCATCTGCTCGAAAAGAAGATGATGCTGACAGTGCAGCTGTTGGTGATACTGGTATTTCTGTCGGTGTCTCAGGCATAGGTACCTCTAAATGAGAATCCTCCTTTGAATCTTGTGATGGCAGCTTCTTTTTGCCTAGGAACTGAAAGAAACCTTTTACCTTGGTTCCGACGCTAGCTGGAAAAAAGAAATTTCAAAAGTGAAAGTAGGAAAAAACATCACCATTTAAAAATGCATATTGGTAGACCAATATTTGGTGCACAAAAGGATGTTTTGAGTAAGTCAACGTTCGTAACTGTTTGAAAGCCTATGCTGTGGTATGAGGTAAATATTTCTTTTTGTCACTGCTAACAGCCAAAGTATATTTTGTTCGTGGACCAACCAGATGCATTCGCTTAAGGTGCTTGATGATGTATTCAGTCCCAAAGAGCTAATTGGATGGTGCGCAAGCTATAAAAAGGGTGTAGGTCTGTAATTTAATGCCTTTGTTCATCACAATCGTTCAAGACTGGTCTCGTGAGCAGTGGAGACGTTAAACATTTGAATTATCCTAGACTTCTCATTAAAATCCTTATTAACTATATAGGATATCCGTCCAGAAGGCGAAGTTGTCTCTGAGAGCTGCGGATAAAATCTACCGCAAGCTCTCAGCATGGTTCGGTCAAGTGTATGCTATTATTGAGGCCATGCAGATACTATTATGTTTGTCATCAATTTAGCCATCAGTTACTTCGATTACTTCTTGGAACAAAAATGCGTTCAAAAGCAAATCGGTGTTTTAGATAACTAGACAATGTCATTAAACTTTAAAACAGTTCTTAATCATCCTCCGATACGACCCAAGTGCTAAACCAAATTAATGATCTTCCATTTCATTTAAATAATGCAACATCGGAATATTGAGTTGACCAAAAGAAGGAGCGACAATTGCAAAAGGGCTACGTATTTCGCATACAATAAATTGGTTGATTCACTAATTAACTGACCAATCGCATTGTCCAACCAATCGCAGATGTGGTTCAGGTGTCAAATGATTGGTTGACCTCACGGTAAATCAGAGCCCATTTGTGTCTATTAGCCGCCCTGTTAAATCGAGTACTATTAAATTACTGACAATATGAAGGTAGGATTTATTGTGACAATATAGTGAGTGAAGGATGCGAGTAATAGTGAGTGATTTGTTAATTCTAGCTTAAACCATCTGTCAACTCTTGCCGTAAGCAGCTTCCATTATGCAGACAGGAACTAATTAACGTTTTTCTTTGATAATCGCTACTCTCCTTACTTTAAGGATACAAATAACCACAATCTTTTAAATCAACGAATAAAGTGTTTGGTTAGACAAAATGGCTAAATCAGTGGGCGAAGCGTCTATGATGTGACAGAGTGATTTATACCGAGGCACAGGTACGCGCCCTTTAAACCAAGTGTCAACTGGCATTACGAATCGGAGTAGGCAAATGGGTAGGTGGGATAGGGTAAGGATTGCATCATCGCTAATGACACGAACCCTCCTCAACGTGGCACAGTGGCGCGACCAGCAACAACCGGCAAGTTGGGCATAACAGGGAGAATTATACATAGGACGCTATTTGCTCAATTTGCGGTTAAACGAGACTTGCTACCATGGTAGTGGTGGGAGAAATAATTATATCTCCAACACTGCAAGTCCTTCATCCCGTTCGCATGCCACTGGTACGGTTATCACCATACTCGTTTACTTTGTAACATTATAATACGCGATAAGTTTTGCCACATACCCGGAGAAAAATAAAAGTTGTTGACTTTTCTTGAGTGAAAGTCAAACTCTACAGAGGTACTACAAAATGCTAGGTTTGATAGAGATAAAAAGCAAATCGGTTGTTTTGCCTTCTTTTCAAACTCACGTTCTGCATCCTGGAGGTAGCGGAGATGGCAGTGGCATAAAAGGAGTCGAATATTCGCATAAGCATGATTATGAATGAAGTGTTTTATTAGCCTAGACAGCCTGATGTTGGAAGAAAATAAGCAAACGACCGGCAGACACACTAGAATGGTGATAGAGCGCCCGCCAAAGTAGGGAGAGGTGGTGGGATCGCTGTGACCGCAAAATTAGCGGCCTAACAAAATGATCGCTCCTCTCGCTTAGCTTTCTTAAAACGTTTTGTCTTGAAGAATAATGAAGCTCGTAAATTAGTCCTCAAAGGATCGCTTTGGACGGAAGGCGAGGATATTCTCGTTCTTTTTTCTAACTGGCACTTAAACGGAGGGGGGATGAAAAGCCAAGAAACAGGAGCACTCGCTAGTGTTTAGCATGTTTGAAGTGGCTACTTCATTAAACAAGGAAATTTTTTGGGTCAGGCAAATCAACGGCATCAAGAAGGAGGTTCATTTCAGAATTCGAATTCCTCATCTTTGAGCGAATTGTGAACGAAATAGCGTTGTTCATGCCAGGACCGACAAGATTTCGCATCCTTCAACAAAGCCGATTGGAACTAAAAGGTGCTACAGGAAACCGATAAACCTTTAACTTAGGCGCCCTGTAACCTCTGAATTAATCTAACCGTCACTTTGTAATTGACGCTGAGCTAAAGTAAGAAGAGGATTGTGAAGAACGTAAAACAAACACATAACATTTTGGACAACCCTTCAGGTCAGACACAATTATTGGAGGGAGTGAAATAGAAAATATCGCAGTTCGGCAGTAGTGAAACATCATTTTTTAATGATCTGTGTAGAAGAGCGATTCCGAGAAATACCAAACTTTAGACATCAAACCAACGGGGTGCTTTACATCAAAGCAGTGGTCCAATTTGTGGTATTGGTATTGCCCGGCAGGAAATTGGAAAGCAAACGGGCGATCGAAAAACCTTTAATAGGTACAAGTTTATGTCTGCTTTAGCAGCCATACTTCAGCAGGCAGTAACTTAATTAACATTAAAAAATATTTAAAAAGGGACAAAGTCTCTTGAATTTCCCGACTCGATTGCACTTAAACAAATGCTCTTAAATTGGTGGAGTAAAACTTTCTCATCAACCGTAAACTTATCAAGTACTAATTTTGATCAAACGCGGGAGTAGTAGGCTTAAGAATTACAAAAAATCCGGATTATGTACAACAAAGGTTCCTTGTGAGCGTAAGTCAATCTTATTATTTCTACTCACTCGTTAAGTTGTTGATAGGCTAGTCAAAACTGAGGCATTCACAACTTCAAAGAGCTTTAATTCAATGACCATCCATTTGCTTCATCGTCAGCATCTTTATAAGACACACTGACGCTACTTTACAGTAGAAATGTCGTTTATATGCAAGACAAACAGAGGCCAAAAAGTTCATTTTTATGAGGTCATGAAACTAGAATGCGAAGTTGCAAATTAACATTAATAATTATTGCATTCGTATTTTTATAAGAACAGTTATCCAAATTTTGAAATGACTTTTTTGATTAAAACTGCGAAATTTTTTAGAACCCCGCCATACAAAATTTTCCGTTTTGTTTGCTTTTATGATCTCCAAACGTTTAATGGGAGGGAAGTCGGAATTTCGCACTGACAATTTCACTGCGCCAAACAGCTGTTAACATGTCCGCCGACAAAAACTTCTAATAAGTCTGTGTAAAGCATCGCAAAAGTTATTTTACCATAAGGCTTTTTATTCGCAAGTTTTCTTAACCAATCATTTCGTAGTAATCGATCCATAGCCCTCAATACTGTTTCCTGATTGGCCAATGCTCTTTTGTGTGCTGTAGAGGTCAAACAGGTGTAAAGAGAAGTCCAATGATTTAGAGCCATATTTTAGGCGGCTAGATCCCCACGTTATCACTGTCCAAGACACAATCATGCTGGATTAAGCAAGGAAAACTTGGCAGTCTTAATGAATCAAATTAGCAAAGGGAAACTCATTCAAGGTGAGAGCTGTATAGCAATTATCCACCACCTTTTTGAGAGGAATATCAGATCAGATCAGATCGCAATGTTTTAGACTCTGGTCAGCACATATACGAAACTCAAATGCGTCATTGGTGAAGAAGGCAAGTTGACAATAGCTGAGGCAACGCACATTCGTTGTGTTCTCTACTTTGGTAACGACCTAATCTATTCCGTGAATGTATGTGAACTTTAGTTTTGCGTATGCGCACGAGTGAGCATTTAATTGCGCCTGATGAGTTGCCATAACTCTGACTATCTGATAGCCAATAAACAGCCGCCGTTTTTATGTCCTTCAGTGTCTGCACAAGGACAGCGATAAGTGGATGCCACTTTGATGGCACGCCTACATCAAAGAACCATTTTGTCTAGTTGATTACTAATTAAAACATCACAATAAAGTAGAGTTCTTCAAGGATAAGCAAAGTTTTCTAAATGGATTATTACTTTGGATATCGTAAAGGTGGCTGTAGTGATTGTCAAAATGTCATTTTATGTTAAACGCTATCTCAGATGCGGGGTTTAAAGGTTTTAGGCTGTCAGGATTTACACGAGTCTCTTGATGGGATTGGAAAACAAGTTCGAATTTTCATTTATTAACCAGCTGCGAAAACTACTTCAAGTCAACTTTTTCAGGAGAGGCAAAATGATGAGGAGGCAGAGGATTGGTACTGAGGCAGTCAACATAAAAGAGTAGCTTATGTGGTCTCTCCTTAGAAGAAATTCGAAAAATTATGGAGATGGTAGAAACAAAAAGACGAAACGTACAATTTTGACGCCGCATGCTTCAACTCCTGTAAGCGAATCCTAAGTGACAAGTCTTCACGCTAAATTGGAGAGGCTCAAAACCTCCTGATCTACGCAGAGGAGCAACCAATCACGGTGGAGAGAGCGATTCTTTATCATGTGCCCATTCGTGGTGAAAGCAGCGCATGCCACATACATTCACATACACCGAAAAATTTCAGCGACAGTAACACATACATCACCATACCAGGCTGCGGCTCACTCCACGAAGCGGAACGCTTGCCTTCGCCGTGTACAACTCACTTATAAGGCAAACACGGCATGATGTTGTGAGTCGCAGTAAAGAATAGATGAGCGCATCCTTTTCAAGTACAAAGTAGGTTGCTCTACTCGGTGGATAGAGTTGCGCAGTTACATGTAAATTAGGTGCAGGGACCGTAGAGTATGCAAACATGAATTAGGGCAGAAAGAAAGTAGGAAAGGGTAAAACCAAAAGCTTTAGCAGTGGGGAAAGATGTAATGGCTATTTTGGCTATCAAAACCTATTGGAAGCACATAAACCAATTCTCACTCTTGACTACAATCATTATTCTTGTCACTGTCTAGCACGATAAACACCTAAATTTCGACCTCAAACAGTGAGAACGAAGTTACACAAAATCATCGAATGTTAAGGCACCTTCAAGATCATTATAGTAGGCATCATTCAAATGTGCCGACCGGGAGAAGTGAAAATCAAATGAGGCTATGAGTACTGAGGTCATTCATCACGGGAGTGTCGCAAAAAGGCTTAAAAATCAAGTGTTTTTGCTGCTTCCTCTTACAGCCTGTCTGACAGATTGAAAGCAAACACAGACGTGTATACTTTAGCCAATCAGAGGACGACCTTGAAGTCTTAGCCTAGCAGCGGATTTTATGATACTTTGTTAATCTTATAAAAAAATGTGACAAAATACGAGAGCATTGGTTAGGCTAACAATCTATTCACACAAAATGTCATGATCTTTTATTCTAGCAAAAATGCAAACTATTTACAATAGCTCTCGAGGCATGTTGTTGAGACACCGCCTCTGCATTTGCGTGTGTATGTGTGTGCCTAAACCGGTTCTTTGCCTCATTTAAGAGCGGAAAAGTTTAATTTTATTCCCTTCGGTAGGTATTGCCAGTCATCTTTAATTGCTATCTGTGAAGTCATGCGCTATGTGGAGATTTCGGAATACTTGAGCCATTTGGTGAAGCTCATGAAGCGAGAAAATCACAACCTACAAAGTTTTACGGTTGTCCACTACTTCTAGGTGGGGCAGAAGATGGAGAGGGATAAATGGAAAGGTGAATGATGGTCGACAGATTTACAACACCATCTTGGCAACTACTCTTACCATCACCAAACAAGTTGAATTCCATAAAATGGAATCAGATGATTAGGATAAATTGTGGATGGTGGGTGGTGGCTGGAGGGGAAGGGTGTGTTTTAATTAAAAAAAAGAACGGAAGAAGAATGGACACAAAATATTCAGGAGGTGGAGGACTTTGACTCACCACTATCAATCGTGAGGTGAGAGAGACAATCCCACGGCTGCCTCCTCTCAAGCGGCGGATCGTGAGATGCCTGCACACTTGGCTGGCGCGTCTCATTTGCATGCAAAGGTCATTGACCAACCATTCACCATTCCGGATTGGCCAGATAACAAATTTACACTCAGAGGTGTTTAGCTGGAAATTTCATCCAAACCCATTGGAAAGACTGCAAGGTCAGTCTGAGGCCAACTGGATTGGTGGTGTCGAATGAGATATTTGAAGTTGTGTTATTTGGCTTGCTGCAAAGTGTTGATTATTTTTTAAAGAGCTCTTTTTGCATTGCAATCGGTGAGAGGAAAGTCCTGCAAGCCTAGCGGTTATAGGTCGACTTTGAACGGTGAGGAATAAAGTCGAGTTGGTGTCAAGTCGTAAAATTAGTCGTGCCTCAGCCAATGAGATGAGGTGAAGAGGAAGGAATAGAAGTTACTAAGTCGTCTTCCTCGGTGTTGCTCTGATTCGCATCACCTTCCTTTGAGCGTATCCCGCATCATGGAAAATCAAAAACTGGAGTGAGGAGACAGCGGGGAAGAAAAGCTAAAGGGTCCGGATTCGAGCTGTTTAACTCCAGGATCAAGATACTGCAATAAAGACTGATGACAAAAGTTATGTTCTCTTGATTATGAGGAAGGAAGTGACTTTTAAGTAAAGAATCTTTAAAAGTTCTTTTAATTTCTAAAGTAGGTTAATAATTTAATTATTTCTTACTCCTTCTGATATTTGTGCCTAACAACAAACGACCTTCTGTTATGTGAGCGATTCTCTGTTAAACATACGCTTCAAATCTCTCTCTATCCTGCTGTTACGTTACCTGTGTGGAGTGTGCTACTGTAGTTTTAAATTTATTATGACTTGACTTCAGGTTGCCACATTCACCGAAAGCATCGAGGAGGAGGAGGAGGAGGAGGAGGAGGAGGACTGAAACCATGACAGTCAAGCAGATGGATACCAACCTTCGGGCAACGAGGCCCACTGATGCTAATTTTTTTGTATTGTTAAGACCGTAATGTAAGTGTGATGCACGAAACTAAGCAAGTATTTTGTACTTTGTCTTTCATAAAACACTTTTAATTTGAGTGCTGATAACTAAACCCATTCTTTTTTTAGATTTTAAGGCTACCGACAGCACAACCTCGTCAGATGCAAATCTTTGCTGAAGTGTCAACGTAAGCTGCTCCGCTGAGGCGTCAGACGCAATCCCCACTCCGTCGCCGTCATTTTCTTCTTCCTTCCAACCATTTGCCATGGCATTTTTGTGTCTTGAAGGCTTTTTTTGCAAAATGTGTACAAAGAACGGTGATGAAACACACAAAATAAGCTGAAGTGTTCACACTTGTTTACCTTAACAATCGCTTTATAAAAAACCGTCTCACCAAATTGCTCCTTATCAAGAGATCCATTTTTTCAGCGTGTCTTTTGCTCTGAGAGCCATGATGCTTGGTACAACGTAAGTGTAGGTGCATTTTGTTTTAGCCTTTTGTCCACCTAACCAAGGAAAAGGAGAGGAATATTGTCCCTATGGCCTTCTCAAACACCTCTGCACTAACATCCTATCTTTCTCGTGATGGCGAGGTGGCATTTCATGGCTTTTCCTAATCACTTCCCCAAAAGGTCCACCCATAAAATTCACCACCTTCAAAAACACACAATTTTTTTAAGAAAAATCGCCTACCTTAAGTGACAGTAACGTCCAAAGTAGTGGCTCCTTAAAAGGTGGCATTAAAACTAAACGCGCCTCTTTTCCTCTCTTCTGCACAAAATTGTGCGACTGCTCAAACACGTCTTCACCCCCCATGAAAGGCCTAAAATGTTTGCTCCAATTTTCTGTCTCCGTATTGACACTCCAAAGGGCGTCAATTTTTTCATTGGCATCGCAGACTGAGAGGCTGTGACAAGTTGTGCACTCCTTCGCATCACTTAAAATGCATTAAAGTGTTAATCATCGCCGTCTCTCAACCGTTTGATGACGGAAAATGTATTCATTTAAGTCGTTCATTTTCGAGTTTCTTCATTTAATTGGGACTGACCTTTGACTCCTCTTCGGAACCCTACTTAGGGTAGAAGAATGACTATTTTTTCCAGCACTGTGCCTAAAATTTTCCCATTTTATCTCCACATACCCGCACCGACGTAGCTACGAGACCTCAGTTTGACGTCGAGCGGTCAACTACTATGGCCATAAATAATCAAATTAAAAATTAACCAAACAAAAGCAAATGCTGCACTTTAAAGTTCACAAGAGTTTGGATATATTTCCGGAATGTATGCCTCTAATTTATGGTCTTTCTAGAGATTGGCGGAACCAGTTCGAGCACTGTGCAATAAACCTGAAAGCCGATGCGCATTCCTCAACATTTTGACTGTTTTGTGAAGAATTAACGCCTACTAGTGATGGAAATAAACAACTGGGCTTGCATACCTCTGCCAAGCACATATGGGGGCTTTGCAGTTCATTTGCATGAATTACTAATGCAGTGATTCACTGTGGTGGTGTGATTAAAATGCGTGGGGAGTGAGGACTGATAGGCCAAGAAAAGTTCACCACACACGCGGAAGTAAGCCGCAATCAAGTTAAGACATCCACCAAATTAGCTAACAAAGTGTCAAAATCTTGAAGCTAATTTTCGTTTGGATCAAAGACTCGGTAAAGTGAAAGTGGTGAGAAAGAGGGAGAGAGGAGGGGAGGCCTGTGGTGGTGCGCAATTTCCCAGCATGTCTCGCGACCATCCTCCACTCAGCCGACTGTTGTCGTGCTGGCCAACATGAAAGGGTGAGCATTAAGGCGTAGACGAAACATTAATTTGGCACTCCTACGTCGGTCTGTGAGCCCATTTCAGTAGTATGAAAATGAAAGGCTGATTCCACATATTTTCTTTAATGTACTGGCTTTCATATCACTCCTCTGGGCTAACAGCCTTCCAAACGAGGTTTTTGTCATCTGCATCCATCTGCATTTAACTTTAAAGTTTTACGTCTACCAGCGGTCTTATCAGCCATATTTAATGGATGCCAACGCCAAAGGCGTTAAAGCTTACGATCAACGAATTCGCATCAACTTACAACAACCTGATTTTATTTCAAGGTACAAATAATGCTAGAACACCGTAGATAGGTTAGCGGGACTACAAGCCATTTCACAGGAACAATCTCCATAATATCTGGTAAAGATGAATGGATAAGAAGAAGTGGAAGAATGTCGATTTTCCTACAGCGGGGTGCACCTTCAAAAGCTAATTGAATCACCGTGATACTTTCGATAGAGGAAGTAGATAGCCAAAACAATGCCAAACACAATAACAGCCATCACTCCACCGGCTATGGCTCCAATTTTCTCAGCTTTTTCGAACTTCTCGTTAAGATCCTTGGCCGAAGAACTGGCGTTTAAGGTTGGCGGGGCCGAAGGATTTTTTTCGTCAACAAATACAATGATTTCCGGAAAGTCCGTTGTAGTTACAGCTGTTGTCCACTCAACAGTCTCATTTAATGTTGGTGGTGCAGTGGAAATAGGGCCTGTTATAAGGTCTGATCGATTGACCGTCCCCGTGGCATTTAGTGGTATCTCCGTAAAGGTGAAGTTAAGAGGAGATGTAACACCTTCTGTGGTATTTGTTAACGGAATGCCTACAACAGAAGAGGATATAAAACTTTTTGCATACTGAGAAGCTTGTCCCATAGTTAAAACCCCTACCAAAGAGGATATTTTTATGCTTGCATACCCCATTAAGTATAAATTTTTAAGGAAAATATACGAGTAGGATTCCTAGACCTAGCTGCAGATGGTTTGATAAGTCCGCAATGAAGGCAAAAACTACACTGTCTAGCTTAGCTGGAAGCAGGTAAGCGGATCGGATGAAGTCACCTGTGACACAATGCAGACTCAAGCACTTAGTTTCTACTTAATTAAATAAGTAGAGCTGTCACAAATGATGTCGGATCCAAGGCTTTCATGCAAGTTGCGTTTCACATGTAAAAAGCTACTTTTAATGTAATTAACGTTAAACGATTTAAGCGTACCAATTGTAATGCCCATCAAGAAAATGACTTTAAGATTTTAATATACCCAGTGATATAAGGGATGCATAACCTTATCTACAAACTAACAAAAAATAGTAGAGGAAATTGAAAATCAAGAAAAGTTGGTACAAAATTGAGACTTTGCACCATGTCATGTTAAAGGCGACTATGAGGATGGCTTGGGCGTGTCCTCGAACCAGAGAGACAGGAATGATTCACAGCAGCTACACAAATGAAAGCACAACCATGATCTAGACACGGGACACCACCTCGAGCATCAGAATTTGTGCATGTAGCGGCATCGTCAGGCGCGGCTTCGCCTTTACGCAGCACACAGTTGGTGTGAGCTTTATAATGACCTTTAGCGGCGGCATTCGGTAGAGTATTTAGGGACGATGTGGCTACTTGACTGATGGTACTACAAAGTACCAACGGCTATTTGGAGAGGAGGAGGAGGGGCAGGAGGAACTCACATGACTAGCTACATGATTTTTGCATTTTGCAAGTTTGACTGCGACACATGCTTATTAAAATTATTAATAAATTAGGTAGAAAATGTCTCTATTGGGAAGAACAATAGAAAATGATACTCACTGCCCACCAGTGCCCTGCAAAATACTTTCGTGTAAAAGATCTCTGCCACTTTTTGACGAGGATGATGCACCACTTTTCCTCTCAGATTCCTGCACGTTCGATGAAATTCCTTCGGCAATGTTTTAGGCATAGTCTGCGTTCCACCCAACCCCCAGTGCAAATTTCAGTGTGCTTTCAAAAGGAACCACCTTCACAAACAAAGATGACTTTTTGGAACACAAATGAAGCTAATATTTTCGCTTTATTATAACAACAAAGTTGGTAAAGGTGATGAACTTTTTCACCAGGCGGTGTCTGGCTTCTGATTGGCTTGGGGAAGCGCATGTTATTACAAAAGTCTGTAAGCCATACACTGATAAATTTACTATGGTTTCACTACCTACTAAAAAGTGGAGAAACGCAGTCATCTTATTACAATTTCTCGGCGCGTGTGGTAAAATAAGTGAAAAAAATGTCACTACGGGAGTTTAAAAACGCCCCATTCACAGAGGTATGCAGCAAAACGGACACTTAAATGTGAAAACGTAAGTCAAATACCGACGTTGCTGAAGGTCATGGCTTTGACAACTGAGTCTTGAAGGGAAATGTAGGCGCTTTGATCCTTAAAACGGCGCGATATTTCTCCAAACAAATCCCTTCCTGGGTGCGCTTATTACTTTTCAGTAGTAGTATGAGTTACAGCAGTAATAAGAAGAATTAGAATTGGCGATAATACAACACAGAGAATTAAAAACAGGGTGTGAAGTTGTCATGCACAAATTGCAAAATGAGGGTTGAAAATCATAGAATCCTATGCGTAAAGTGGGAGTGAGGCAGGGGGTTAAAAGGTGTCAAAAAGCTTCCTCACCTGCGATGGGAAGGAGGATGAGAGCCGCACAAAGGAGGCCTTCAATTGACATTTAAATTTAGGCTTTAGTCAGTGAACGGTGGCGATAATGTTTGTTGCTCTCGGGGCATGTGTTACATTTTACTCGTCCTACAGCGAATAGCTGGGTGTGCTAAGCGGGGGATTGGTAAATAGAGCCTGACAACCTTTGGACTCACTGACCCACTGACCAATCAATAGCAAGTCGTTGCCAATCGCTCCTCTTCGTCAATGTGACATGTTGGCGCACTCATGTGACACACAACTTGCGAGTGGACTTCACGAGTTCAGCTACGTAGGTGGGACAAAAAGGTTAGTGGTCGCTGTCCTAAGTTAAACAAAGACATCGCATCCACTCCTGGCTATTCTCCACTCACAATATGCATTTTGATTTTTACTAGAAATGTTGGGTTATAAATTAAAACTGCTATTGTTATTTGGTGGTTTCAAAGTTAATTATTCACCTTGGATGGAGAAGTTAATCTGTTCTTGTTGTGCACCTTCACAGAAGAATTTGAATCAGTTAAAATTGAGCGGTTCAGATGTTACAGGCATAAAAGGAAAACAGGGTATGATTTTTTTGCAGGAACAAGTACCTGGTCGGCAACTTTGAGCTCGCTCTAAGACAGTCTTCCAAAGCCCTTTGAATTGCAAGTTTGCCCTTACTTGGGAATCCTACTGAAAGGCTAAGCTGACATCCGTGGAGTTAGAAATGCAGGACCGACAATGAACCACTCACGACACCCAGTCACCTTCCACCTCAGTGGCCGAGCGTCCAATCAAAGCCCACCTTTGCGTCCGACGCCTTCTCCCCATGCTACGCCTCCTCTCCTGTTGATGAAAGGCTTTTCTTGCTTCTCATTGTCTGCTAAGCATGACAAACGAATTCATCATTGTCAGCAGAGGTGAAGTTGAACATCAACTCTTGTCTAATCGTACAGGTGAGTTAAGGGATGCAGAAACGGTTATGGACAATTTGAAGGCGCCTGAAAATTTTTTGCGTCAATGAGGATTAACCATGAGCACTTTGTGCTCCCCGGAAAATGTAAACTATCCTCCCATATTACTCATTTTAGCACGACATTACAGCACTTTTTACTTACTAAATACCAGTAAAGTGGTTGCAAGGAGGCCGAAAACTTTATTCACTGTACTGTGACAGGTGTGACAGTAGGGGTTTGTCCTTTCCAACGAGATCGAAGCTGCGATTCCGCAATTCCACGTCTCAATACCTCTGTCTATTCTTCACTTTGTTCGTCAAAAGGCAAAAAGGTGCCGAGTCTCCTGGTGATGTCCGTTCCTACGAAATGCGAACTTGATTTAGTAGTTGAGGTTTACTACCCATTACTTTCCAATTTTTTTCAACGAAACCCACAAACAAGCAAGTCGGTAAAATGCTAATTAAGAAGATCAAAAATTTTTTCAAATGCAGCAAACACTGACCTCCAAGAGGTGATTAATTTAAAGGATGACACTGAGGCGAAGTCTCGTTGTCAAGGTGCATTTGGGTTCGAGGTGATTTTAAAGGAAAAAGGCGAACACTGGTGGATCAGTCAATCATTCACTTAGGCAGGCAAGCAGTCATTAACACGGGTGCAAGTCTGTCGTCGTGTTTGGCAGCATCACAGCACACGACACGGATGACAGCTGTAATTAAATAAATTACGCAACTTGGAAGCCACACTCGGATTGGTTTTAGTGTGAAGTTGATTTGTCACCTGAGATTAGGATGTAGAGTGGATTTTGCATGACATTACAAGCTTGCCACCATAGGATTCTTGTCATAATAGAATTTGAAATCAATGCGAGGCTCGTAAGGTACTCTTGTGTCACTCAAAGGGCAAAATTTCGTTGCATTGCTTTATTCTCTTAGGCTTGTAGGTCACCGATCGCTGTGGCGAGAGCAGAAAAACGCTTCTATGGAAAAGGTTTGGGATCAGGCTAGAAGTTGTCTTTAGCCCATTCAACCACGCGTCCACGCAATCGTCACTTCATTCTGAAGCTGCCCCTCCTTAATCCAGCCAGTCACGCGTCTTGGTTTGCTCTTTAGTCCATTTTGTTTGCATCCCGCAAATGGACAATTTCTATCATTCAATGCAATTTAGTTTGGAAAGATTTGTTGCCGCTCAGCAACTGGATGGCGATCTAAAAATATTTGAATTATTTTTCGCAGTTATTTTAAAAAATGTGTACAAGATAGTCCACTTTGAGATTGAATAGGATCTTCGAAAATATTTCACTGAAATGATGTTTTCCAATCTTCGTCTGATCACTTTTTGTTTGTCCTCTCAACAGATTCATTTATCACCCTTGGTTAAGCCATAGTGACACGATTTTTGAGTAGACAGGGCGCGTGCGTGTGCGAGAGGGGAAAAGAGGAGGGGGAGGCGGTGGGGCAGGGGAAAAAGAATAGTGATTAGAGTAGAGGACAGGGCAGGGGTGGCGCGGGAAAGGGTGTTGGTCGCTCCCATCCCACGACTACTAGCATTCCCACCACAAATACACCGACGACAAGTTTAACGGCTTTGACACTACACACGAACTCGCACACGCAGACACACACACACACACCTGAGGCTGCTATCACAACCCACCTTTCTGCCACTCTGTCACTGGTTCAGTGGTCGTCTCCCCCCATCCCCTAATTTCCCCTCCCCTGCCCTCTCTCCAGCCCGACTCAACTTCAATTAGGCAAATGAACATGCAGTCGTTCGCACACCGCTACGATACAGCACACGGAGATAGAAGTTGGGGAAGGGGGAGAGGGAGAAGGGTTGCCAAGCTAGCAGAAGACACGATTCGTCGTCAACACTTAATTTGACTCACACGTACGCTGTAATCTCACGCGTTTGTGCTTGGGAGTTGAGCAGAAATAGGATATTGTAAAAACGTTTAAATCTTTTCACCATGAAAGAGTGGAGGACTGGAGCGCAGCAATTCGCCCGTACACCCTTAAAGGTTGAGATACCTGCAACAAACTCATCGTGTCATCTCTTAAATAAGCATTTTGACAAAAGCGGAAGCTAAATGTCAGAATAATGAAGTAATTTGTAAGGATTTATTGGGCCAAAAATCTGTACAATTTTTATCAACCTTTAAAAATGCATTTCCTTGCTAGGCCTTGGGGTTCGCATGGGACAGAAGTAAGTATGCCATCTTCTCAGTACCACAGAGCTAAAAGAGAAGCCGATTGGGTGTTCTTCGTGCTTTGGTTGAGAATAAGATTTGCTCAGTAAAAACAGTGACTGTCCTGCATTAAGCTGCAGCGCTGGTGTCAGGGCTTGGACTCCTTTCTTTTGCTCCTCTTCACTCCGAATCCCCCTCCTTCACTGCCCTCTCTTTCCCAACTGATTTATTTGGCAAAAATTGTGCCGAAAAATTGTTCCGAAACCTAATCTTCGTTTTTGAAGAAACGAGAATTGTGTCTCAGATAAGCGCGAGGACGTGTAGTCTTCGGACTCTCAAATTTTAGGGCAAACAAAGTAGAAAAAGCGATGAGTAGCGCCAAGGTGTGGACAAGTCATAGGGGTAAACGCTGAGCCACACCGATTGCATCCATTGCAACCAACCAAGAGCGATAAGAGAGCGAGTATTTGCCGATAAAAACGATGCGTTCAGGAATATTAGGATTATTTTTTACCGCATTTGAGGCCTTTCTTCACTTCCTTAAGATAAGTGGAATTGACTCGGCCTGGGGGTCAGACAATCAACGAGGAAAGTATAGCGGCGAAGCCCCTAAGTGATCCTCATGAAAGGAGAGTGTACAACAAAGAAGTCTCTTTCTACAGCCATAAAAATTTTGCTTTGTCCATTGGGTTGCTTTAGCATAAGCTTGATGTTTCCCTATTCCTACCTGCAGAACGGTGCAGGAGCATAAAAAGTCGTCGCGTTTTGCGTCCCCACTAAGCAATTTCAAATATGATACAGTTGCCTTTCAAATCCATTTAACTAAAATAAGGCGTCCAATTAATCTGCGGAGAGCTGCGGTCATTCATCCCGTCTACCTTCCTTACTTTCTCCAATGCCGGACGAGAGGTTTAAAGAGGAGTTTTAGCAGCGACCGCCTTTGAAGTTGCAGAAAGGACAAGCTCTGACTACATTTATTACACCCATTAAACTGTTGTTTTAAGTGAAATTGTTTTCAAATAGCAGGGAAAATATCTGAATGCCTCAAATCACTCCAGCAGACTTAAAATAGACAAGTGCGAACATTTTTGGCCCCCCGTGAGACAAACTAATAACTTCGAAGTATACTTGGGGCTTGAGAAGTCAGCTAGATCGTAAGATTCTCAGTCATGCTTCTAGTCGATCTGTTGCACAGTATTCCCTTCTTGTATAAAAGGGGGTTTGTCTCTTCTTTCTACTTAATTTTAATAAACTTTAATTGGATTTCATCATAATTACAACGTAACTAATTCTTCACTAAAAATCCACTTAAGTAGAAATGCTAATGTGCACTCTAGCTTTGAAGATTTCGTCCAAATTAACATAGAGTATGTGATAAGTGTGGCTATGAAGGCAATAAACCTTATTCTTCCCATGCTCACTTCAAATAACCATTCAAGCGTAAACGTTAAACCTTGCTACTTAAATCCGAAGCGAACTATTTAAGTAGCTGGTGCTAGCAGTTTAAATAGTTTAAAAGGGATACTTCCATCTCCCTTACTTTTTTTGGCCATGGAAAATAATTGCCAAATTTTTCAATGACTGTTTGATTCATCACTGGCAAGTTCTTAATCCTTGTACTTCAACATCTCCCTCAAAGGGGCATAAACTTACAACCACGCACCATCATTGGTTGAAACTTAAAATTTCCCTTATGCAGCACCATACAAATACTCTTTTATGAGTTCTCCACGTCCACTATGAAAATCCTCGAAATTTTTTTCCCTTGACTCAGTCCTTACACTCTTACCACCTCTGGGAGTAAAAGTAATGCCCCATGCTCCCACACGATCATGCAAGCAACAATGTCAGTTGGGTATAGAAAAACATTTTGATTTAATTGAGTTTATGTTGCTTGCACACACTCCCACTTCTCCAACTCATCGTTGCCAGGTTAGCTAATAAAGCTGTGTGGTTAGGCTAACATCCACCTCTATTGTATTAATTGTATGAGAAATTTAAGTTTAGAATTGCGAAATGGACTAACAACCAAACAAACGAAAGAATGCACCAACAGAAAAAGTGGTTAATGGGCTGGTGGCGTGGATATTAGACCGGAAAATCGTTGACTTCCCTTGTTACCACAATCGGAAATGCTAGTGAAACTCAACGACCAACGAGATGCACATCAGAGGACGGCAGGACACTGGCTGACATCGAGGCGAGAGTAAGTGGCTCCATGCAATCGCAATCGAAATGACACGTGATGCTCCCTTTACAAGGCTCCTGACACAAGGCACACGTGTTGAAACCAATTTGGTGAACAATATCACCGCATCCACCTTCCGCTAAGTTCAATATTTTTAGCAGTCATGCCTGATGTGATTGTTTTTCTAGGAATCCACCCACTCGGCGAGGTCATAGTCCGATGATGAGCCCTCTGTCGCCTGAATGGCAACTTGGCAAGCCAAATGGAGAGTAGGTGAGAGGGTGGAAATGAAGTGAGTAGCTAGAGGACGAGATGGAAAAGGGGTAAATGTATGAATAGGCGAAGGCTGTCGAATGAGGAACGCGGTTTCAAGCGAAGGTCTACCACTTATGCCTATTCTGTGCCACTACAGGAGGCGATTGTACCTGCCCTATCACTGGTCACAATATGCGGCCCGCCCAAATGTCATTCATTCCGAACTGCAGACAGTGACGGTCTGTGGACCTTTGTTAAAATGCCGATGCAAAAAAATCCTACAATTCATGTTCTTGCAGGAGATGCTCACCCACTCAGCATGGAGACATTTGAAGAGCGTAAATATTGTTCACAAATTTTAGCCCCGTGTCACTCCAGCCAACGTCAGACAATCCTGTAAACAAACATTTGGCTCTATGACCACCTGATAGACGTATGACCTGGAGGAAAGCAAATTGGTGCAAGAGATGAAGTTCCTTGTGCGAAATGCAAAAACTTGCACTAATGGAATCTTTCTGCTTGTGAAGGCGTTATTGAATGCCAGGTCCAAGTGACTGAAGCATACCGATAAAATTCATTTCATCACAGCCATGGAGCTAACATCAATTGTTAAGTACTTTATTGCCTTCCTCCCACCTGTGAAGCCTCTGAAACCTCCGATACTAACTCATAACACAATAGCTTCAAGTAAAGCGGACTGTGTTTAAACACAAGCGAATAATGGCACAGACGAAGTTTGAGAGTGTAAAAGTTATTACTCGGAGGACAAGTGGGAGGAACGACTATGTAAAATACTTGGTGCTACTCTTTTATACGTCAATGCTTAGTGCAAATGTAGCATCAGGTCGAGGCGCCAAGACATAAGGTGATGGACTTGACTAACCAAGTTGTGGGTGATGGGCAAGCCTTTGTGTTTAATTTCAAGCCTTGTACATTGGTTGATGCAATGATGTGGGGGTGCTGACTCATTTTTCCGCCATAATTTTGAACAATGTTGAAAAGGTAGGCCTGGTATAGTAAGGGTTGACAGATCTGTGAGAGTTAGTCCAGCCAATCGCATGAGCGTGTCGTACGATCCGTGAGTGAAGTCTTAGGTGGATGGAAGACGACAACATCCACTGACTGGAGTGCCAAGGTCGCATAATGGTTGACAGAAGACTGTTATTTTGTTCGTGTACACACGGTCACTGCTACCATCGGGTGGTATTTTGAACATCGGTGTCTGGAGTGACCCTGCATGACGTGTGTTGGCGGTAATATGACAGACACATTTGGCAGCAATGGAACTGCTTGAATTACTGGAAATGGCTAGGAGGCAGACCTTGTAATGGAAAAGGCAGGAATGTTTCCACGACTTAACAAACAGCCACTTTTCACTTGCTCATTAAAGGAACACAATTATTTATGGTTGGAGTTAAGGGAGGAGAAATTCATTCTTGCAAAGTAATGATTCATTAGTTTGGCAGAGTGAACAACTAAAGTCATCTGATAGCTTTAAAATGAACTCTAATGGAAAGGAGCCATTAAAGTGGACAAAATTAGTTCCTTCATGGGATAACAAGTGCAAAAAGGTGAACTATTTTATTAAGTAAAATTTGTAAGATTAATTTTTTGCTAAAACTTCTGTAAAAATGCTGTGGAATAGGAGAAGGGACCCATCAAGTTGACTCCAAAAGGCGTCATAATGACCTTGCTCTATTTTTGTACCTCCTTCTCCTTGTTTTTTAAAGGGAGATAAGGTAGCGTACTTAATAACATCGAGGGTCTGTCAGTCCTCTACATTATCGGTCTCAGTCACCAGAAAGCTCATTGCAAGGCGGCTGTTCCTCAACCAGCGCCGCCAGCGACCAAATTTTTGTTGAAGATGGTGAAGGCGGTAGCGTGGAGGGTGCAGGAGGCGACGCCAAAGTCGGTTCCACAGGCGCCTCCTTTTCTACTTCATTCTTCGTCATACAGGATTTGATATCTTTCACTACTTGAGACCACAGAAGGGAGTGGACCTGAGTGGCTAGAGATCTAACAATGCTGCAATCCTCGTTCCAAAACACTGACGGTAAGGTTTGAAGAGTTGCCGATGATGGTGGTGGCGGAGGCTGTGGTGGAAGTGTACGATTTTTGGTAGTCCAACTCAGTCGATTCTCCTTTTTCAAACGTCGTCTCGCATTAGCAAACCAAGTGGAGACTTGAGTTAGATTCATGCGCGTCACTGTGGCCAGCATCACCTTCTCCTCCTTTGTGGGGTAAGGATTCTTACGATGCTCATAGAGCCAATTTTTAAGGAGACAAGTTGTCTCGCGTGTGGCTATCTTCTTCTTCACAGGCAGTCCATCCTCTCTACAAGAAAAAAGTTGTGCAACAATACGATTTTTTAGTAGTATGGGTCAACCTCCAGGTCAACAATGCTGGTCGGTGATTGTTATGAGCGACTTCAAGCCTAGGGAGAGGGTTGAATGAGTCGTGATGTCAGACAAAGGCCATTCGAGTTACCAAAATAAGGTTGAAATGTGCCGATGTGGAAACTTAAAAACTGAGAGACTTTGGCACAACTTCGCATAAAGTCGCCAAGCGTACAGCCAAACCTTCAGCAGCTGTAAAACGGCTCCTAGTTCTAATAGCTGCTCCACACAACTAAACTTGTGCTTATAGGCCTTCAACGCAGAAGCAAATCCAAATTTGATATCAACTTGCCACATTCGAAAGTGATTTCATTCTCCTTAGTTACTGTTGCCACGGTGGTGCTGGGAAGAGCGCTTTACGAGCGACTTCTTCATTGTGGAGTTGCAGAGAAAGGCAGTCAATCAGAGCCTGACCAGCCTTTGCTTTAAGCGAGAAAGCAATTGTCAGTGGTCTTCATGAGGTCCATTTATGACATTTTAATGAGGATGCGCTAATCACAGGAAAGGCGCAGAATGAATAAAAGGAAAAGTGGATGATGCTAGTAGTGACGAAAATGGCGCATTTTCTCGCAAATTGAGCTAGTAGCAGAATTGCATAGTATTTCATGCTTATGCAGTTTAATCGCTCACTAAGCACTTATTATTGTCTCGGCTTGTGCCTCCGGAACCTGCTGGCAGGCTCACCTCCTCTTAGGTCAGTGACATATTTACCATGAGACTGCCGTGACTTCTCATGCCATCAGACGAAGTCAAGAGCATAGCAGCAATTAATTCGAGCTGTGCCCAATGGACTGGCTTCCAACCCATTGAAATGGTGAAATAACTGCCGACAAGGAAGGAGGAAGAGGATGTGGCACACTACGGCGTAATTAGGGTTTTGTATTAACAGTCCAACTAACATCCATCAATCCCTTTAAGGCCACTAAATTGGAACTGAGATATTTGGAATGCGCCGTCATTCACTTCGTCAATTGCTCATTACTTTTTTAAACTAGCACTGCATGGAAATCATCAAGAGAGCCCACCTGACAAGTGGAAACTGTCGATGTGATGAACTGTCAGCCCCTACATACTGCCATTTGGAGGATGGAATTGACAAGATAAAGGTAGAGATTGTCGTTTAATCATACTTTTATGGCATTGCGAAACGCTTCTTCAGAGGTATTAAACAAGAAAATAGCGATGTGAATGGTGTACATTTTATGCCTAAAGTACAATGTGATGTACTTTTAAGGAGCTGAATTTGCTCAAAGTGTCAATTTGAGGAACGGTATTCCAAAATTTTCTACTTTTGCTGCGAGGAATTAGCCGACCTGCTACTTATACATTTGTATACTTACTACGCGTCAGGGTGAGAAGAATTGATGAGCACCAAGTGATCCTAAGGGCGACAAATAAGGTCGTAGGAGAGGCACTTCCTTAGAATTCTTACAGGCACAAAAATCTTTCCACACATTCCTAGTTGAAATACATACTGAAAATCTGTTCATTTGACAACGTCAATCTTTAAAGTGGATTTTTAAGTTCCGACAGACAAGCAATCTAGTCCGTGCCACCTCACGACCTATCGAAGTTGTTTTAAAGTTATCGCTTCCACCTTCAACGTGGTAGTTGGGAAAATAATGCACAGCAGACAGAGAAGGCAGAATGAACAGACAGCAGAAGGGAAAGTGATCGAAGGGCTGCAGTCGGACTCCGCAGTTTCATCCATTTCCCCTACTGTTGTTTGGCTATCAGAAGGTGAAGAGCCACCTCCCACAATGTCAAATGCAATGTACCGAGTGGATTATTAGAGAAAAGAAAATAATTGCTGGATGAGGAGCTGTGAGACCACCGATAACTCTGCTGTGAAGCTACCGTTGAACTGTTCAAATAAGTGGAGACAAGCCAACAGAGAGGCATAACTCTTGAATTCGATATTGTGCAAATAAAGTAAGTTGTTGGGGCAGTTCGCCAGTTTATTCTTCACCTCAGTTAAATAAAAAAAAGACGTTGATAATCCTTTTCTAGATAACAGCTATTGTAAAAACTTGAGCAAATCTTGTCTTACCGATTCTCCTCTACCTCAGTGGGGCTGAACTGCCTATCCTCACGGTCCTTAAAGGTCTCGGTGGAATTTTGTGCCTAGGCAAAAAACAAGCGAAAAATGTCGACGAGCCAAAGTTGAATGGCAATGAGGTCAATTTAATTGTGCTTCAAAATGCATTTGTCGACTCGCTGCCCTCTTGGTGGGTGATTCGACTCCAAAGAAACAATACAACACAGCAATGGATGCGCCTGTTGACTCCACTGCATCCCTTTAACCCCACAGCTCCCAGTGAAGGTGACTGACGTTGGCGAACTTATTTAAAAAATAACTCGTATTTGAAGTATTCCATTCAATTTTGCGCATGTTTATCTGAGTATTGAAACATGTCAAAAGAAGTGTTAAATATAGTCTTGCCAATCGGCAGTGATCAGATTTAAGATCGTGGTTCCAGTTCAGGTATAAGCCCATTTGAAGGAGGCGTTACGCGTCAAGCGTCACGTGGTGCAATTTCTTCCACAGTGTTGGCAGAGGTGTCAAATTCAACCCCTGGGTAGTTAATCTTCGAGACTGCATTCAAGCACAGTGATGGAATGGCCAACTATATCGAGACCTACAGCGGTTGATGCTAATCTCAACCGAGGCGGCTCGCACTTAGTAAAGCTGTTGTCGTCTCAAACCCACGGAACTACAAGAAGCCTGATTGGTATGACATTAAGCTAAAGGCGGGAGATTATTACACAAACGAGCAACTCATTCATCTAAGAACTTTCTAACTTGCCAATGGTACCAATTTGGAGCGCTGGAGTTGCCTGTGAAGAAATAAAACTTCTCTCATCCCCGTTCTCCATGTCGAAGCTTTGTGCAGTTTAATTTGAATTGTACCAAGAAGAACCACTCACCGGCAATTTATTAATGACAAAGGGACAGTTGGATTCCAGTACAAAGGAGGTTGGAGATGGTCTTTTGGGGCTCGCCAGTAGCGAACCGATGGGGACTAAAAGTGCCTCTGAAGGCGATGACTTCAGGGTTAGTGGAGCTTGAAGTGGACCACCTTGCACCTCTGTTGGTGCCAGTGAAGTTGAAAGCTCACCTATAAATACAAATTTACGCCTCCTTGAAAAGGCTTCAAAATAGTTTAAGCACACAAAATTACCTTCATGGGATTTAATGTTTCATTCGCTGAAGTGGCCAACATTCAACCCTATTTATTCTCTCTAACACTTTTTATTAGTTCCCAAATCTTCCTTAAATATATTGTCAGTAGCCTTCTCCATTCCCCAGTCCTTTGAATGTCACCCCTACATGCTTCGTCTTTTCAAGAAAGACGCGGAACTTGACATTCAAGTCCTCAATCAAAATGACTTTACACAGTAATTAAAAACATAATTTTCAGGAAATAAATGAAAAATTAAAAAAAGGGAAACTTTTTTCACCAGGTGACCAAAAAAAGTGCTGAAAAAATTTGGACACTGATTAGCGAAAAAAACAAATCACTCTGTTTACCATCAATTTACTTAGAGGCTCCAGTTTCCGTAAGTGACTCTTAGAGAGGAGTGGGAAGAGCTTTTGCAACAAAGTCTTATCCATAATTGGCTTCGAGGGGGTATTAGCATGTGCAAGCTTAATTCACGCTTGAAACGGATGGAACACATGTCGGCAGTGCAGTATTTACTGGGTTATGACATTTGACTGATGTGTGAACAAAACAATTGTGTGTCAGAAAGGTGACACCTCTCGACCTCAAGTGGGTCTGAACCATTTCAAATCCGCTCAAACAATCCGGCTTGTTATGAGGTAAGAGAGGCGAAAGATGGAGTGTTTTTTTTAAGACAATAATCCCCGAATGGAATGGATATTTCGCACTCTTAAATTACCAACTCGAGTAAGCATGAAAATGCAAATAATTCGTAGGGGTAGGGAATTTAATGGCCACTAGGGCGCGATTTCCCTAAAATGTGGATCGAATGAATTTACTGAGAGACTGTTTGACATGTTATAAATAGAAAATGGGGTTTAACTCCGCTTCGAGTCCGCCACAAGACATGTCGACCCTATTTGAAACAGTCAGGCGGCCAGTTGACCTAAGGATTGCCTTCTCCTGACAAGAAAACAACGCATGGCCTCATGAACCGCCCCTCAGTGGTCCCATTCTTGTGAAAGGACGCACTGAATTGCCCTTTGGAGCACAGTAACCAATAAACGACATTTCTGTGCACTTTGCTGCCCTGGTATAGTTTCGCAGACCTCATTTTGTCATTTGATCAAACAATTGTCTCATTCACGGTTGAGGATAAGTGATGGCTCCTGGAAGCAAATATTTTGTCAAAAAAATGTACGAAATAATTTAATGAATTTTGGATGAAGGCGAATTCTGTTAAGAAATTAAGACTGAATGATCTAATAATTGCCATGAGTGACAAGAAGAATTGCAACTAACTCATTCCGATGAAAGCTCGATTTCCGCCATCCCCACCGCTGTGCCTTAACCCTTGCGTTGCTGCATTGAACAAATTCCGCAGGACTAGTGGATGCTGTTCCATTAGCCGAAGCCATGTGTCATTGTCGTTGAGTGTCAGTGCTGCCACCGATGAGAGTGACAGCGTCGGTGGGGGCTCGAATTCTCCCACCTCTGCCATGCCATTCAAAAGAGGCATAGATAAAGTGGCATCTGGATTTGGTTCCATTTTTCTCCCTTGGAAGTGTCCGTCAAGGCGGTGGATGCGGTGAGGTGTGGTGTGAAAGACTACTTGTACTTGTTGTTGCTGCTGCTTCTGCTACTACTACTACGCCGGTAGGCGCGTAAGTGCGTGCGCACAACGAAGCGTGCGCCTACCCGCGCTCAATTGCAATTGAATTCGCAGGGTGCTCGTGCGCGCATCTCGCAAGTACACTGGCTGACGGGCGGCCACCCCTTCACCTCCGTTTCTGGAAACAGCCTCTAAGGTAAGAAAACTAGCAGCCTGAAAATGTATTCGTTTTCCCAAACGGCGTTTTCGAGTTCCCATGACCCAGAAATAATGACCAACTTCAAGATTGTTGCGGTATGCGCGGTGCCATACGAATTGCCAAAACCTTATAAAGACCTTTTCATATTGTGTCTCTATTTTAAGCAACTGGACAAAACAGACTCCAAGCAAGCTGGAGCCTTGTTTGTGGATGACAGGTGGGCGAGTGGATTCATCCTACTCCTCCTAGCAGCAGGCTTCGTACATGATCAACTTAAGGAAATTTCCACAGCCAAAAGCAGCAGTCGTGAGCTCCATGATGAATGACTGGAAGCACGAGCTTCTTGATACCGGAGCCTATGTGAAGTTAGCTTAGCTCTTATTTAGCTAGAGGCCATTATTATAGTAATTGTGTAAATAAAACCCGAGGAGATTATGATTTCCTCAAATTGGAGTCACTCCATTAACATTAATCTGTTTTTAACAACCAATTTGTCTGAGAAATAGGATTTGGCACATGCACAGTGTAAACTGATAAAAGGAAGCCACATAAAGTAGACGTTTAGGAGTGGTAGGATACTGTAGACAGTGAGATTCTCGAAGTCATTAGGGACGTTTCACGGATACTCTTAAGAATTTTTGTAGATGCGAACACTAAAATCTCATTTAATTTAAAGATATTTAGCTCTGGTGTCCTAATTTTTATACCTATTTAGTTCATTTGTAGAGTCAATTTTTCAAAGGTGGCCTTTTGTGTTCTGTCATAAGCTCTGTGAAATGCAACCTTACAGACAGTCGAAGTTAACAAAAGCGTAAACCGATTTTACACTTTTGTTGCAACACTTTTAAACGTTGCTGCACTTTCACTAAAACTACGTAGATGACTTGAACTACTGCGATGCTCTGTTGAAATAAAGTATTTTTGATCGGTTGGATGAGAACTTTTACATTACATTTAAGTCTGTTTGTAAAAGAGTCATCTACCTTGCTTGATTATCGCCTGGTATTGAACCAGAAATTCATGAAAGATGACACACTTACTTGAGGTCATTATGATTGGCAGTAGTCAAGGTCAACTATTAATTTATCAAAAAATAATGTGAATAATGGCAGCAAATGCATTTACGAATGAAAAAAAAGCGAAGCGGCGGCGGCAGCGGCGGTTAGTGCCTTCGGTACTCGTGGATAGGCAGATCACGCGTGAATCGTCGCTTGCTCGATAGGCCACCAATAGCCGGAACTTGCGAAGGTGCCCGCCACCTCTGATTGGCTGGCGGTGGTAGGAAGTACCACGGGATTGGCATAAGCCCCCAATCGTAAGGAGCTTTGTTTGAACTTTGTGCCTTTAAAAGTAAAAAAAATGCTATCGTTCGGGCCTTAATTGATGTTATCTCATAAAAGTCGACATATATAAACCTTTACTGTGGCTTGATTATGTAGACTGAAATACCGAAATGATAACACAAGTTCTGTAAAATTACTCATTACGATTTTAAGGCCGAACTATGTTTTAAATTTGGAGAAATTTGGCATTTCATTACTATTAGTAAAGAGAGTTTTACCTGAAGCACCTCGATTGTGAGGACAGCATCACAGCTTCCACCCACTGACGGACTTAAGTTTACTTAAACTCTTATTCACGTCTGGGGAGATTCATGGGACCATTGAGATCAGCTGACTTAAACTTCTCTATATTAATCACAATCATCCTTATTCTAAATAAATTCGCCTTTATCCATGCACATGAACCGTTTTTTAGGTGTGACAGCGCAGCGAGAAGACAGCATTGAGAAGCTGCTCCTCTGTTAGTAGTCGTGTGGGTTGCAAAAAGGATGTCAAATCCCTTCTAATTTCAATACCACCTTCACCATCGTCATGCCTCCACAGTAATTCAAGTGATCTTAGTGTACAAAAATTTCCCATCGTAAGGCGTGATGGTGAGGCAAAGACGAAGGCGGTTGGAGCTATAATGACATTTAATGGCAAATGATGCACCGCCTACGTCATTAGCATGTCGAATTTGCTTCAAGACCTGATAAATGCATGGAGCTAAAAGACAGTGAGACAGTAGTAGAACCGTCCCTTCCCACAGACGTTTCCAGCAATGGTATTAAACCACATTTCCACGTCGTTGCCAATCCTCTTTAGCTCAAGTAACTTGGAAAAACCATTCGACCCTACACAACTCGTCCGGCAATTACCCTTACAATTATTCTTTCCGAATGATTTAAGCAATGATGGACGCATGGACTGCAGATCTCTGTTTGTATCATATTTAATGGACCCAAAATCCGGATTGGAATTTTATTTCAGTAGCAACAGGTGAAAAGTTAAAATACAAGCAACAAAACAAGCCGAAATTCGCAAATTTCTTTGGCTGATCCGGTCGGCACATTCCGCCGCACGTCCTCGTAACTGTACGTGAGTTGGTGACAGCGCTCATCAGAACGTCTCCTCCTTTTTTTAATTCCTTACTTTAAGCGCGCGTGATAGGTGATACCTCACTTTTTGCACAACTAGTTTCAGCTTTGGAAAAAGAAGACAGGTAGAAGAGAGCTGTCGTTGCGTCTTGTGCGCTTACTTCATGGTGGTGGCCCTGCCCTACCATTCATGTGCGTTGAAGTGATTTGCCGGATACTTTGGTAGGAAATCGTTGGATCTCAGGTTGCTGAACTAGGTCGGTAAGTGAGTGGATTGATTGAAAATGGGTAGATGTGCGAGTGCATTCGAGACAGTAAAGAAAGTTGCGATGGACGCTAGCACACAATTCTCCTTTTATAGACCGTGCACAGCCGACAGGTGAAAGATGAAAGTCTCCACTAGTTACCAGTTTGTTCCTCTCCCCATCCAATCCCGTATTAAAGACGCATTCTGAATGAATGTTAACAAATCTATAAATTTTTATAGCTAAATCAACTTTCATTTCGAAAAGAAGCTACCACGTGAACACTGTAATGCAGTGGAAATGCTCTGTTAATATGGCCTCACCGCTAATAAAAAATGTTGACGGTAGACATCTTACAAAGTATCGCAACTCGAAGATACTAACGAAGAGTCGTCCCGAAAACAAATGAGGGAAACAAAACCGATGGGTCAGAAAACAGAAAGTCTCGACATTGTATGGCAGCTATCGAAAAGGACATAAAAGTAAGGCAGTTACAGACATAGTCCCTCGAAAACTATAAAGTAAGAAACGCAAAAAAACAGCGACTGATTTACGACTTAGCACACGAAGTGATGATTGTCGTCTCTCCTAATAGCCATCGCATGGGTAAAGCAATTAGGACATTATTTCCATTATCCAGCTTGCAATCCGCGCCTCAGGCTCATATGAGAATCGGCCATTTGCATTCACTCGCTAGAAGAGAGCAGTTGGACACCATTTTTATGAGTAAACTGAATCTCCGATGTTGGTGCTCCTACCATGACAAGAACGGATGTTTTGATCCAAAAAGACTAGCCCTCCAAGTCCATGAAGAAACAGTCGAATAAATATGCCAATAGTTGTGATAATTTGTTCGTGCAACCGCATCATCTCTGACGGTTACATTGGCACTCGTGTGCGCCTTATCCGCGCGGACTTGCCCTCGGGTCAAGCCAAGGCTACAATACATGCATTCAGCCCAACTTAATGATTTCCTCCGTCCCGTGGGGAGCCTTGGGGCTCTAAAGTAAGGACCACAGCTGCATGACAATTTTGACATGACACCCATACAGTCATCATGAGGCAGTCATTCACGCTTCAATATAAAGAAGACGTAGGCAAATTTTCGTGGGTAACTCTTCTGCGTAGAGGCGTGCAAGGCAGTGATACAGAAGATTCTGCTCATCCTTTCGCCATATGAGCAAAGGTGTGCACATGAAGGAATGTTGTGCCCAAGGTACTTAGGCAACTCAGTAGGGATCGTGTTGTTGCTCTATTAAATGTCGCATGAAACTTCGTTCCTTAGTGGGTAAACGACTGGAGGCTCAACAGCCAAATTTAACCACCATAGAGCATTTGGAAGTTGGGTGAGAAAACAGCTTAAATGGCACTGAAAGGGGACGATACACGGCCGCATTGTGCGCATTTTAGGGCAAGCGAAATGACAAATTATGTCGGAAAATGGAACAAGTTATCCTTTAA